TCTCAAGAATGGTTAGGGGCTGCGACTGGCTTCCGGCTTCCGATTCGGAGTCCGACTCCGCAGAGTAATATGCCTCGTCTACACGGGCAAGCCAAGCGCGTTGCTCATGTGGTGTCGGCTTCGACGAGGAGTCGGGCACTTCGCCCGAGGTTGAGGACTGCACGCTGGAGCTAGCTTCGCGGGCATCTTCAATGCGTATCTGACCTCCTCCATTAGTACAGCCTCCAGGGCATGCCATGACTTCTACATAAGCGTAATCTGTGCCAGAACCACCAGACGCAGCGCCCCGTCCGACCGGCATTCGTCGACTACCGCCCGGAAGACGAGAAGCCCGGGCTGGTTTCAGCTTGCGAACAAGATTTTGAATATTGCGGAAACCGTAATAGCGAGCAGCTTTCAGGATAGGCGTGTGCTCCGACGACATGAGGGTGTACTCGACTACATCGGCGTTTCTTCCTCGTTGAGTGACAATCTCACTGCCTGGATTACGTGCTTGGAATGTTTGGAGCACGTGGTGGAGGTACCCTCCGGATGTACCTGCGGCAGCTGATTGTCCTGGGGAAGACTTTGAGAACAGAAATTCGTTCAAAGTGGTATCGGGGAATGGTGGTATATAAGACTGAGGAAGGGATTTGAACGGTAGGTTGGGAAGCGCAAGGCCCCTGGAAGATGCTAGGCTTAGAAGTTCGCGAGTGGTGATCACGCAATCAACATCACGGACGGCTGTGTGGTCTTCGTCCTTCGCAGACAGCCACGAAGCATCGGTAAGCTCCTCACGACTGGCTTCAAGCTTCTTGTCAAAGCAAGGCATGACGGCCAAATGCCATATACGAGAGGCCGGGATGCCAAGTGATTTACTGAGGACGGTTTTGAAAAAGGTGCCAGCCAACGCTTGCGGTGATTTGAGTCGTGACAGATGTGGGAGAACAAATGGATGTGTCTTTTCCGCATAACATATCCAGCCTGGACATGCGGACGAGAGGATCGGCCGTTTGGGAAGAGTATTGGTTCCGCTGTTTGTGCTAGGGGAATCGGGGTTGGTCGTCAAAGTCTCGCCAACTTCGTCCGCCGTAAGAACCAAGACAGCCTCGCGCAGAACATTGGTGTCGACAACCCATGTGAAGCCGCTGCCATTCTTGCCTCCAGCACGCAAACCGTGGGGACCGCTGAGGAACTGCTGGATCATGTATGATGCTTCCTTCTCCGTGATTCCATAGGTTGCTGCTAGGCTTGCCCTCACCTGAGGGCTAACACTTGCCACGAAAACTCGGCCTTCGTCATTGTCCGTGCCCAGACCCTGTGCTAATGTCCCATTTTCACGGTTGATCAGCAACTCGGGATGCGCATCCAAAGTGTTGAGGACTTCCGCATGCGATTGCAACGAGATGAGCACGGCCTCAGCTGAAGTGACGCACCCAGAGCATGCGAGGCAGTCAGTCAAAGAGATTTGTGCCGGTGGAAGATTTTCAGGCTGCACTTTGTCTTCTGTGGTCACTTCATAGGGGTTCTGAGAGATTATAAATCAGCGCTCATTCATTGGATGGAGTGGGGTACAAGCAGGGAGAAGGTCGAGCACATACATCTGTTTTCGAGGGATCCTTTGCAGGGAGAGTTTCCACAGGCTTGATGCACGCAACTCCGGGAGAAATGAAATCGTTCAAGTCGTCTGCAGATAGAATTGCACTCATTGTGGCGGCAATTGAAGACTCCTAGCTAGATGAGCAGGTATAGCAGCGCCACTCCGCAGCGGGCTCAGAAGTCTGCGCTGCAACTCGGACCGTGCTGATTTAGCAATATGAAAGCTTCGACGTCAAGTTGAACGCAATGTGCAAGACTTCAGTGTGCATGGAATATGAAAGCAGGTAGAAGAAATGCGACAGTGACAGTGATCGAAAGAAAGACCAATGCTTTGTCATCTGCAGTGGCGACGAACTCTGATGTTACTGGATGCTTATCGGCAGCCCCGCGATCGGCGATGATAAGCTGACCGCCTTTCGGCACCGCCCGCCAGGCACTCGTGTTCTGCCGCTCGTTCGTGTTGCCCCTCGGATTTCCACTTGGCTGGCCGCTCACCAGGCACCCTGGTGCTTCCAGCCTTGCTGCCTAAGTCTGCTCTTACTGTCAAGTCATGCCACACACTACATTAACAGACATGTAGCCAGATTAAGCTTACATTCTGCTTACATAGTTTCACAGCAGACCACAAATACAAAGATGAGCCAAAAGTTATTACCAGACTACTTCCGACCGGTCAATGTGCGACCACGGCCTATGTCGGCAGCTGATAGGAGAGCAATACTAAGAGCGACCGCGGAAGAGACTCAAGCCCTTCTCCCCGGCATTCTAAGTACGGTGCCTCGGGCACCTCCAACAGCACAGTACTGTCCACGCATCAGATATCCTTCTTTAAATCCAAGGTTCAGTCCAAAGCTATCAACCCATGTCGAAGTCATATTTGGAGATACGTTCGACATCGCCATTAGGGTTAATAGCCCCTCCAGGCAATTTCGGCAAACTGACACGCGGAACGTGTGTGTCTTGAATATGGCCAACGAAAGGAATCCAGGCGGCGGTTGGCGTAATGGAGCTATGGCTTAGGAGGAGGCTCTTTGCTATCGAAGCAGCCTCAGCTCCACCCTTAAATACCGATACTATCCCATAGGAGAACGAGACGCCATCTATTCTCCGACCGTCGTTATCTTCCGTGAAAGTTTCACACAGGGTCATGGGCTGATGGACCTGCAGAAGCCTGAACATCTCCCTATTGTGAGCGTTATTAGCGTTGCTGCCCTGGAAGGACCAGAGGTGGACTATACGGCAAATCCAGCGGCATTTAAGTTTCGTTCTGATCGAGAACTGACCAAAGACAAGATGCGGTCTATTCTCCGCATCGCAGGGTATAAGAAGCATCGGAGAATAGTCCTAGGAGCTCTGGGTTGTGGCGCATTTGCGAACCCAAATGCCGAGGTTGCTCAATGTTGGTTCGAAGTCCTGAAAGAAATCGAATTTCAGGGATGGTGGGAGAGGATTGTATTTGCGGTTTTAGATGACATGTCGAAAGTTGCTCAGGGTGACAGCAATTTCGATGTCTTCCGGGAAAGGCTGCATGGATTGAAGGTATGAACAGGTAGACCAGGAAAAGTGGTACATAGTATTAGTATATAAAAACCGTTATAATAAAGTCCGTCACGTCGTATCTTCCGATACGTCGCTAATATGGTTATAATGATACAATTGTGTGGATTCCTACTTTCGAAGTCGGTCAGAGCGCCTTCTGGTAGTTTGTTGTGCTTCTACCGGCTTAGTCTCTGTCTCATCGATGTCTTCCTTCTTGACAGAAGTCCTGCTTTGCCTCTTGGGCCCTGTTTTGGGCTTCAGATCCTCTTCGCTAGCTTCCGGTTCGCTCTCCTCCTTTTTCACTGAGGCCCGCTTTCGCTTCGACTTTGCCGGCGCATTACTGGCGTCTTCACTGCTGAAGTCCTTGGCTACTGGCCCAGTCTTCTTCTGCACGCTTGGAACCACTGCGCTGGTTCTGCCGCCTACCGTAAGGAAAGTGATTTTTTCCCCGTTTGGCAGCACTGATGGCGTGTTCTTCTTGCCTTTACTCCACCGATGTTTGAACAGCCAGTCAGCTGGGAATTTCTCCGAATCTGCCAGAAGTTCTACGGAGGTGGAGCAGATATAATGTATCGCTGAATGCAGCTCTTTGATCTGGTCATCATCAAGAGTGTTGCTGTATTGCTCAGGGTGTATCTTAGCTTGGTAGAGGATTTCATCGCTATAAAAGCAGTCAGCTGGATGAAATTGCCATAAGGGGAACCTGAAGAAACATACCCCATCCAGTTGCCTATTCCGCTAATATTCGCCTGATCAAGGAGCAGGGCTTTTACAGGTACCTTCTTGCTTCTCAGCTTCTTTGCCAGCCACTCCTCCGATACAATGTCTTTATCGGCGACAGGATCTGGGCCATTCTCTTTCAGAGGACTGTATTTACGGATTTCCTCCGCGGGACAGTCTACCAGACGTATTCTGGCCAGTCGGCGAAAATCAACAAACGCAGCCTCTGTCTTTGGATCGCCGTCGGTTTCGAGCAAGAATTTCCAGTACTTCGGCGGCCACTCCTTATCTTCTGGTTTGTCTGTCCGGTAGTAGTATGTGTCGGCGTCCCGGATCTTCAGCCAGCCCGCCATACCAAAATGCATAACTGCATGGGGTGGTGATGACATAGCAATCCAGAAGTACTTGCCCTGCTGTCCGGCACCAGTAACTTTCTTCCCTTCCATTGCCTTTTGAAACTCGGCAGCAGTGGTGCCCGCTTTGCCGTAAATAATGTCATCGTTTTGCACCGACACCTTGGAAAGCGTTTTGCCGACAAGATGTTGACGAAGGAAATGGACTATACGTGAGACTTCCGCTAGCTCGGGCATGATGTTCAATGTTGACAGTCTCTGTCGGGAACGGAATATTGTGGCGTGAACTTTTGTCTCTTTGGTTCGGACCTCCTCCCAGAATAGGCTCAAAGATGTGTATAAAGTCAATTCAATGAAGTCACGTAAGTCGAGCAGAGGCTGGAGCAGGAGGTCGTGGCGCGCGTCGGCCATCACGTAGTCCCGTGATTACAGAATGCTAACCTAATCGGGTAATATACTAGGAAAGTGTGAAGTACGGCATGCCAGCCGAACCTCGTGAGAACTTCAACATTAGCTTGTTGAAGTCATTGCATTGCTGCATTGCTAGCCCACGGCCCTTTTGGAAGTTACCATAGCCCCGGACTAGTTACCCGGTCTTCCTTTACCTCAGTAGCACAGTTGTTATTTGAACTACTTCTTTGCAGCCAAACGATCCGCTGGCCGCGGTTCCATATTGTACAGCTGCCAAAGTGGAGTGGTTCTGGACGAATACTTCCAGGTCAGAAAGTGACTCTGGAAAGGTGGAGGATCGGAATATGTCTCGAGCATCGTCAACCTCAGCTCCTCAGCTGACACCCCAATTCTGTTTCAATGAGAGGCTGCTCAGAGGTATGCTCAGCTACGGCCACCGTCAAGTCCATAGACAGTAACGGGGCGCGGACTGACCCGGGGTATCCTGGCTGCTGTACAGATTTTCTACGAATCTCTAGATCGACCATAGATGACTCCATTACGCAAAACCTCAATGCCTTGTTCACCCCATCTCGACAAGGATTCGATCCCTCCTCCACAGCTATTCGACAAATAGACGCCAGTGAAGGGAAGCAAATCGAACCAGCTGCTTGCCAGGGCTTCAAGGATAAGGTCTTGTTTCCATCATGGCAAGTCCGTTCGGATGTGCTCAACTATTGCGCCGGGGTGGCCACAAGTCCCGACCCGGAAGACCCGGACCTCATTCTCCAGCAGACCGAGTCTGCAGAGGATCGCGAGCATATTGTCGATGATCGCCTAGACCCATATGCGGCCCGGTTTTTGCCTCGGGAGGCACGGACTGAGTCGTTGGCCAACCTTGTCCGCACTCAACGGGGGGTCGAAGACATTATACGCACGCGCACGTGGGGTCTGGTAACGGAAAGATGTGGTGGCCCGTCGGAGGGCTGGGAAGAGGCGCTGAATAAATGGCGTGAGAATAAACAACGAGAGCAGGCACCACCGTTGACAGAGTGATATGATCTCCGGGTCGAGTAGTAGTCACGGCATTGATTATGGTTGAGGGCCTCCAACCATTGGGGGGTCCCATTTCCAGCTGCTTATTGTCTGGTTACTGACCTGACTTGATGAGACTGGACTTGCTATGTATATGATGTTGTAAGATAGCTGCATATAATAGGCGTTCTTGGTTGGAGCCCAGGCGGGATGTATGAATCAAAACATGAACTTGGCTTGAATCGCGTACTCTACCATTTGTTACCAATTAACAGAACAGACGGCATGCTGTGAATACTCATTAGCAATGTCACTTGTCGACAATTGGGTGACATGGAGGGTAAGGATTAGGGCCGCCAGGTTGCATCTGCAGGGCCGCTTCGGATAATAATTTCGTCTGGTGCCGGGCAGCCCTCGAGGACGGCGGTCGGCAAGAACTTTACGAGTAAAAGCAATCATTTAACCATACCATTTGAGCCGCTTGAACGGGTGAACCAGAGGATTGGATAGGGGTCAAGGATAATTCTCATATCCCCTAGGACGTGCATGCTGTCAGAGTGTTGGTCATAGCTTATCGCTGCCTGATCGACTAATCGTCGTCCATCGTCATTCCTCCCCCGCGCACTTCGAGCTTCCGTCTTCGCACAGTCACTTGGCAAGTCCTTCACAGACCACCATCGGCCAACCACACTCACCATGCCGCAACCATTGAACTCCAAGGATGCATCCTTGTTCCGCCAAGTCGTTCGTCATTATGAGAACAAGCAACACAAGAAGGGTGCGTTTGCGATTTCGATTGGACACGCTGGATGTCTCCGCAAGTGGGCAGGAAAGCTAACTGTGCTCTCTTCCGAACAGGCATCAAGACCGCCGAACAGATCCTGAAGAAGAACCCCAACCATGGTGATACCTTGGCGATGAAGGCTCTGATTATGAGCAACATGGGCCAGCAGGAGGAGGCTTTTGTGCTGGCCAAGGAAGCCCTGAAGAATGACATGAAGTCGCACATCTGCTGGCATGTGTACGGATTGCTGTATCGGGCGGACAAGAACTACGAAGAGGCAATCAAGGCATACCGGTTTGCATTGAGGATTGAGCCGGACTCACAGCCAATCCAGCGGGATCTTGCGCTGCTGCAAATGCAAATGCGCGATTACCAAGGCTACATTCAGAGTAGGAAAGCCATGCTGCAGGCTCGCCCGGGTTTCCGACAGAACTGGACGGCTCTCGCGATCGCACACCACCTCTCCGGAGATCTGGAAGAGGCCGAAAAGGTTTTGAATACTTACGAAGAGACGCTAAAGATCCCTCCGCCGACCTCGGATATGGAGCATTCGGAGGCCGTTCTGTACAAGAACGTGATCATGGCCGAGGCTGGTAAGGTGGAACAGGCGTTGGAACATCTGGAGAAGGTGGGACACAGGATTTCGGACGTGCTTGCTGTGATGGAGATGAAGGCGGACTACCTTCTGCGACTGGACAGAAAGGCTGAAGCGGAGGCAGCGTACATTGCGCTCCTGGACCGGAACCCGGAGAACTCGCTCTACTACGATGCCTTGGTCCGGGCCAAGGGTATCCCTAGTGATGACCACAAGGCCAAGAAGGCCGTGTATGACTCGTGGGTCGAGAAGTTCCCCCGTGGTGATGCTGCTCGCAGAATTCCCTTGGAGTTCCTGGAGGGCGATGATTTCAAGCAGGCCGCCGACGCCTACTTGCAGCGCATGCTCAAGAAGGGCGTTCCCTCTCTATTTGCCAACATCAAGTCACTGTACAGCAACCCCGCCAAGCGCGATACAGTGCAGGAACTTGTTGAAGGCTACGTCGCGACGACGCCCCAGTCGAACGGCTCCGCGGAAGGTCAGTCCGGCGCCGACAACACCGAGTTCCTTTCTTCTTCCTACTACTTCCTCGCTCAGCACTACAACTACCACCTCAGCCGCGACCTGTCTAAGGCCATGGAGAATGTCGACAAGGCCCTTGAACTATCGCCCAAGGCTGTGGAGTACCAATTGACCAAGGCCCGGATATATAAGCATTACGGAAACCTTGAGAAGGCGGCCGAGGAGATGGAGAAGGCCAGGCTGTTGGACGAAAAGGACCGTCACATCAACTCCAAGGCTGCTAAGTATCAACTCCGCAACAACGAAAACGACAAGGCTCTTGACAACATGAGCAAGTTCACTCGTAACGAAACCGTTGGTGGGGCTATGGGTGATCTCCATGAGATGCAATGTGTCTGGTACCTGACCGAGGATGGTGAGGCGTACCTACGCCAGAAGAAGCTCGGCCTCGCGCTGAAGCGATTCCATGCTGTCTACAACATCTTCGACACCTGGCAAGAAGATCAGTTCGATTTCCACAGCTTCTCCCTTCGCAAGGGTATGATCCGTGCCTATGTGGACATGGTTCGCTGGGAAGACCGCTTGCGCGAGCACCCCTTCTACACCCGGATGGCCGTCTCTGCCATCAAGACTTACCTCCTCCTTCACGACCAACCCGACCTGGCTCACGGACCTCTGCCCAGCGCCGTTGCTGACAACGACGAGGAACGTAAGAAGGCGGTCAAGAAGGCCAAGAAGGAGCAGCAGCGCCTGGAGAAGATTGAGGCGGAGAAGCGTGAGGCCAGAAAGGCCGCAAGCACAAAGAGCGTTGATGGAGAAGTGAAGAAGGAAGACTCTGACCCGCTCGGCAACCAGCTTGCCCAGACGCAAGACCCGCTCAAGGATGCGACCAAGTTCCTGACACACTTGCTGGAGCTTAGTCCCAAGAGCATTGAGGCCCAGTGTCTCGGATTCGAGGTTTACCTCAGGAGAGGTACGTTCACCCGTTTGCTATCAATCATTAGCACATACTAACCGCAACCCCAGGCAAGCACGCCCTTGCTCTCAAGTGCCTCACCGCGGCCCACGCCATCGACGCATCCAACCCCACCCTTCATGTCCAGATCCTCCGATTCCGCAAGGCCCTGGATAGCCTTTCCGAGCCACTTGCGCCCCAAGTAGCCGAGGTCGTCAACACCGAGTTCGAGGCCTTGCTCCCCAAGGGCCAGAACCTCGAGGAATGGAACAACACCTTCCTCTCTACCCACAAGGAGAGCGTCCCCCACCAACAAGCCGGCCTGACCAGCCGTCAGCTCCTGAAGCCTGAGTCCAAGCCCCAATGTGAACAGGACCTCATCGCCACCCTCGACTCCAAGGACATCACCATCGACACTGCCCTGGCAGGCCTGGAGCTCCTGAGCGAGTGGGGAAGCAACCACGCCGCAAAGTCTGCTTATGTTGAGAAGGCAAGCAGCAAGTGGCCCGAGGCGACGGTGTTCCGCCTCGACTAAAGTGATAGGACAGATTTCTTTTCTTGGACTACTCATATTCAAAACTTACCTTATACTTTGAACCTCTGTAACATGATTGGCGGAAAGGAACTTTTCTCCTTGTCTCATTAGCTTCTTCCTCCTCCTACTTCTCTGTCTCCTTCTCCTTATCCTTACCATTCTTCTATCCTTAGAATTTGATCAGCTACGAATTTGTAGCTGTAGCTGGATCCTACCTGGGTGTACATATCTAATTGTACTGAAAATCCCTGGTATGTGGTGTGAGACGAAAACTATACGTGAACATGCTTTTCGAAACTCATCGAGGCGTATTGTATTAGACTTTTGCAATAAATAGAGAATAGCCCAGTCAGAACAAGCGGTCTGGGGCTAGTTTGGTTGGGAGCCTTTCACGCGCGTTGACATCAAGGCGTTGCAGGAACGTACTTCAATACCTGAGAGACTTGAATGTGCGACCTAGAATTGTAACGTTTCATCTCAGTAGTACTAGATATACATTCCCACAAGGTGTTTTTATACTAGATACGAGACATTTGACCCGTCAAGATCATCTTAAATTCGACTAATATACAGTTTGAAAAGGAGATGTCAGTAGTTAATACATATACCCATCCATCCAGACAAAACACGTTTCCCATGCAATTGATCGTATCGACCCCAAAATACCAAGGACCAGAAAAAAAAAAGTAAGCATATGTCTATATACCTCTAGCCCAAACACAGATAGAGATCTAATAAACCCTTTCTATTTATGGTGACAACAAAACCCTTCTCGCAGATCGTTTCTCGGAGGATGGATTACTCCTCGTCAAGGTTGCCCAGAATGGGCTTTCTCCGCAACGTCTCCTCATCCTCTCCGTATCCATACTTCACCCACATGCGCTTCCAGAACGACACAGGGACAGGGCGTTCCTGGCCCAGGATGTATTCCTGGCCGTCGCGGATGCGCTGGGCGCGGGCCTCTTCCTCGGGCGAGACGCTGAAGCGATGCATGCGGGAGGCGAGGCGTGGGTCGATGACGATGTCGTCGAGCCACTCGCGTTCCTTGTCGGGGTTGGCTTCGTCCTTGCGGTGGACGGACTTATGCCATTCCTTTTCTTCCTCCTCGAGGACGGTCTGTTGTTCGTAGGTGGTGCTGCCAAGGGTATCGTCGGAGATGGGGGAGGCATCCGAGGAGCCGGAGCCGGTGTTGTAAGGGCGGCTGTACGAGGCCAGGACGATGGCGGCGACGTCGCGGCCTACGCTCTCGGCCATGTGACGCTGGTTAAGGTAGCGGTAGAGTCTGATGGGGGTGTTGAGGAAACCCAGGATGTGGGGGAAGGCGATGGGGACGGAGCCTGAAAGAGTCTGGGGGATAGTACGGGGGAGGGGTTGCGATGAGTAGTCGGATGTGGAGATGTAGGCTGGTGTCGGTCCGACGGGTTTAGCAGGCTTCTCTTCCTTCTTTTCCTGCTCGGGGGCGTTGGCGTCGCCCTCCTTGGTCTCTGAGGAGGTCTCTGCGGTGGGTGTGCTCGATTCCACAGGAGCGGGTTCCTCCGTGGGCGGAGGTGGAGGGGGAGGATCGAGAGGGCCCAGCCAGCCTTCGTGCAGACCGCGAATGTACTCCTTCCATGTGTGACGACCGATGACCAGATCACCCTTCGGTCCGGGCTCCTCGATAACGCCCATCGACGTCCTGGCGGCGAAAACGACGTCCTCGACCGTGGGGTCCTCCACCACTGTGCTCGGTTCGCCTGCCTTGCGTCTCCACTTGCGAATGCGCTCCGCGTAACCAGCACGGATATCGCCTTCCCTCCTGCCTTCGATGATTTGGTAGTCCAGTGCCGCCGCCACGAGGATCGGCTTGACGTATTCTTTGAAGTGGTCGCGAGCTACACGGATACCGTCACCCGGTGGCGCGGAGAGGAACACGTTGATTTTGCGTCGGGTTTGCTCGATTGGAAGATGCTCTTTGGAGATGTGGGCGACAAGGTCACCCCATTTTTGTTGCGCGCGGCGCTTCTCTCTCCGGTCGTAAATGACAGCTGCGGCGAACGAGCCGGTGATGGTGAAGAAGATCATCCAGTTCCGGGAGGGGAGTTTCATGCGAAGATTCGGCATTCCTTGGAGACTATTAGGTATGAAGATATTGGTTAAGGGCATTTGGGATCTATACCAAGCATTCTGAAGGCTGGGTTGGAGGGCTTGGGAGCGCTGGTGGACGCTGCGGACTGGGCCGGGCCTGAGGCCGCGGCGGAATTGGAGGATTCCGCCATGGTGTAGGGGGATAAAGAAAAAGGGTATATGAGAGTTTGGGGTATATAATTAAGATACAAAATAATAAAACTTTTGGTACGTAACAGGGAGCAGAAAGCACTCCCTCATGGCATGTCGTGAAGGGAAATGTATGATTGCCGAAAAAGTTCGGGATGCTCAGCGCAGCTCCGGTCGGGACGAGGGTTTATCCGGAGGCGAAGATGCCGAGTTGAAGGCGGAATCTGGAGGAGCAGCAGAAGATGCACCCCAGCTAAACTCAGTGTTGCATACCACGGAGATTTAGTCTAAAAAGACCAGGTCTCAGATGATCCCTTGGAGTTTCAGATTGTAAATTTCGAACCCGTCCAGCTGAATTGACATCTAGAAGGAGACATGATTGGTTCATGCTGCTGGCGTTAACATTCATCATTGCTGGAGCACTAGCATTCCCTTGATGGTATTGATTTGTCACAGTGAGGAATACACTCTCTAGACCTCTAATTCTTTATATTCCTTTGAAGGCAGTGAAGACCCTGTATATTGAAGATGAAGATGGTAGCAGCGAATACATTCAATCATTGTGAGACAGCATTCGTGGCTCCAACCGAGTGCCGTATGAGTCTGGAACATTAAGCATTAAACATCGGTCTCTTTTTCCAGTTCCCCTCTTCCCCCCGTGCTGATCGGATCATCAATCCTTGAGGAGTAGTGGTTGCAGTAGCATCGTGTCTTTTCTTTGGTATCCTATTATCCCTGTCTCTGACTTCAATTCGGGATCGTGAACCTGAAACACAAAGCTGGTTACCCGACAGATACTTTGTTAGAGAGGGTAAGTAGTACTTAGTAGTACGGGACTTGCCGCCACTGGGGCAGAAGAAGAGCCAGCCAGCCTCTGGTTGTTGTGCCTGGACCTCTCCACTGCATTTCCCCCCCTCTGCTAAGCCAATCTCAGGGACACAGCGAAGAAAGCGCTCCTGAAAGTTGCTTGTCGAAAGCCCCCCTTCGCCTCCTGAGGCCACCGCTCCTTCGGGCTCTTGTTTCCCCCTCCCCCTTGGATTATTCTTTCCCATCTCCATCCCCCTCCCCCAATTCTTCATCCACTCGCTTTCAACTCCCCCCGCTTTCCCTAGCCCTCGTTTGGTAGTCGGGGAGGAAAGTTTTCCATCATGGATCCCAACAACAACAACCGACTCCACCTGAATTTCGGGTACAACGATCGTGGTTTCAATGCGGCGGCGGCCAACAACCGCGCCTATCCCACTACCCCCTCCGCCTTCCCCCAGCCGATCTACCAAAACCAGGGTCCCCAGGATTATATGGACGCCCAGAACGGTGCCTATGCTCAAGGTGGTTATTTCATGGCCAATCCTTACCAAGCTCAGGCTGCCTACGGCCAGCCGCATTATGGCCAGAACCTGCAGTCCCCTCAGCCCGCCTACCAGTCCCGCATGGGTTACAGCGCGAACGATGGCACCAACGGCTTGATCCAGCAGTTCTCGAACCAGGACCTGAACTCTCCTCGCTCGGGTTTCTTTGCTCGTTCTGCCTCGCCAGCCCAGCGACCCCGAACTGCGGGCTCCCCCGCCCCCGGGCAGCAACAGCCGGGCCACCTGGCGCCTCCTATGCCTCGTAGCCCTCGCACCCCCGCGGAGAACGAAGAGTTGCAGCGGTATCCCGAACGGTACTCCGAGAATGTCCACAAGCGTGGTAAGGCAGCCAAGGAGCTGGTCAGCGTCTTCTTTAATGAGAACATCGAGCGCGCACGCGATCGCAACATGCGGTGAGTATTCCACAAATGCCACAGCCCCTCCCCAGCATGGAAACTGGTGTCGCTAATTCGGTGCGTTGCTAGGTCTGCTGAGCTTGACAAGATGATCCGTGAACCGAGTATCCCCAAGGAGAACAAGTGCAAGGACGCAGAGGTGCTTGCTAAGAAAGAATCGAATTTCCTCCGATTCCTTCGTACCAAGGAGACCCCGCAGAACTTCCAGACCATCAAGATTATCGGAAAGGGTGCATTCGGTGAAGTGAAGCTGGTACAACGGAAGACCGATGGCAAGATTTACGCGCTGAAGTCGTTGATCAAAACGGAGATGTTCAAGAAGGACCAGCTGGCTCACGTTCGCGCGGAGCGTGATATTCTTGCTGATTCCAAGGACAACCCGTGGTTGGTGAAGCTGCATGCTTCCTTCCAGGACACCGCATACTTGTATCTGCTGATGGAATTCTTGCCTGGTGGTGACTTGATGACCATGTTGATCAAGTATGAAATCTTCTCCGAGGATATCACCCGATTCTATATGGCCGAAATTGTCATGGCGATCGAGGCTGTTCACAAGCTCGGCTTCCTTCACCGGTAAGTACTAGGCGCTTGATGCGGCCAGAAGATGCAAAGTCGAAGTTTCACGGGAACAGGTGCTAATTGTTTTCGTCTGTAGTGACATCAAGCCTGATAACATTCTTTTGGATCGTGGTGGTCACGTCAAGCTGACGGACTTTGGTCTGTCCACCGGAGGAAAGAAGACCCACGACAACTCCTACTACCAGAACCTGCTGAAGAACTCGACGTCAAAGGACAAGAACCGCAACTCCGGTTACTTCAACGATGCGATCAACCTGACAGTCTCCAACCGTGGTCAAATCAACACGTGGAGAAAGTCTCGTCGCGCAATGGCATACTCCACGGTCGGTACTCCGGACTATATCGCCCCGGAGATCTTCAACGGTCAAGGATACACCTACCTGTGCGATTGGTGGTCTGTAGGTGCTATCATGTTTGAATGCCTTGTGGGTTGGCCCCCGTTCTGCGCGGAAGACACCACCGACACCTACCGCAAGATTGTGAACTGGAGAGAATGCTTGTACTTCCCCGAGGAACTCACTCTTTCGCGCGATTCCGAGGGTCTCATCAGAAGGTAGGCTTTATGCGCATCATTCGCTCATGCATCATGCTAATTCTGGATAGCTTTCTCTGCGACGCAGAGCACCGTATCGGAAGCGATGGCGGCCAATTCGGCGGCGCAACGCAGATCAAGAACCACCCCTTCTTCCGCGGAGTCGTTTGGGAGCAACTGCGCAGCATCCGTGCGCCGTTCGAACCGAGACTGAGCTCGAACATTGACGTGTCGTACTTCCCGATCGACGAGATTCCTCAGGAGGATACCAGTGCCATCCACCGCGCTCAGGCTCGCGCCATGCCGGACGAGCAGGAGGCGGAGATGAGCCTTCCATTCATCGGATACACGTACAAAGCGTTCAACGCCTTCCAGGGAAATTGAAGATACAGTCGACATCCGAGTGTCCTTGTGAACCCACGATAGACGTCATTGAAGAGTCCGACGGCGGGCGGGCTTGCATTGATGGCTTTTCAGTGGCGCATTTAGGTTCTGGTCTCGGGCATCCCCTTGTGCATCAGTTTCATCCAGCATCTAGCGCATTTGACATTTCGCCTCAGTTGGTCACGACCTAGCATTGTTCATTTCCTATTACCTTATTGATTTTGCATCCGTGTCGCGAGACGACGATTGCTAGCTACCGACTGTATCTAACCGGGGATACATATGAGTGGATTTCATATCATGTATTAGAAAAGCCCGCGAATGCAGGACTGTGTTCCGTAGCTATTAGCATTTAGCCAATGCATAAAATTGCGGTAGAAGTTTGCGTCTCATGTAGAACTAAAACTCTCATCGTGGATAGATTGTATCATTAGAAGAGGAAGAAAAAGAGGGCATGGTATTGATGCGAAGCCACTCTAATGCATAACACAGCAATAGAATAGAAAGAACGATAGCCACAACATTTTGCCAGCAGTACAAGCCCATGAAACGCCATACCCGACCTTCAACAGGAAAACCAACAACAGCAACAACAATAAAGAAACATTCACTACCCCTAGGACTCATTCCTTAAGAGGCGCCAACCCCGGCACACCCGAAAACCTCTCCTCTCTCTCCGTCTTAAACATAATCTGCACCCAAAACTCCTTACTATCCTCATCGAACCACGTCCAATACCGTCCCTCCCGACGATCAATCTCCCTGGCCTGCAACTTAAACCCACAAGTCTGATACGGCTCAGCCGCCACAACCAAATACTGAAAATTCTTATCCGGCGGCTCCTCGACCTTCTGCTCAAACGCCGACATAAACCGCACCTTGGGCGTCACTCCCGGCGTAATCTCCTGATACTGCAACTGGAACAACATGCCCAACTGTCTCGTCAAGGGGTCCCGAATCTTCGTGATCTTATACCCAGGCCGTCCAATCTTGATCGTCTGCTTCTTGACCTGCACGCCCATCGCCCCGGGAATCGACGACGGATCTTGGTTCTTCCCCTCGCGCTGTTCGCGCGCCGCGCGCCGGGCAAGGTTCGTTTGATGTTTGCGCCCCTGCGTGTGCGCTAGGTAGGACCCGTCGTTTTGGTGTACTGTCAGACATAGTCTGCATTCGAAGCTGCCCACGTGGTTCTTGAAGAAGTAGGGGTCTTTGTCTAGGTCGATGGTTTCAAGCGCGAGTTTGCGTAGGCGCTCGCGTCGGTCGGCGTTCGTGGCGGAGTGTGAGGCGACGCCGCCGCCGCCGAATTTGGAGCCCGCGCGGTTCTGTTGAGAGATGTTTGTTAGTGATGGAACTTTGTGTGTAGATGGTGGGGTGAGATGCTTACTTGGTAATCCATCCTGCCGGGTTGTGGTTGTGAAGATGGATAGCAGTGGGATATGGAGGTGATGATATCGTCGTAGTTGTCGAGGAAGTTCTGCTTCGCCGATTTGGAGATTAGCTTCTGCCTCAGGCAGAAAGAGTTATGTAAGCGCGGGTGTGGGTTGCCATTGGTGGAGCGGGGAGAGTGGGAAATCCATCACATGCTGGGACGCTCGTTGTATCTATTTGTTCGGAACTGTATGTTTAGGAGGTACGGTTCTCGGCGATATTAGAATGGAGGCTGCGTACGTAGGTCAAAGACGGTCGTATGCTGGGGATTTGTGTACCGTGCGCTACGTGGGTACTGTTGAGGGCACCTCTGGGGAGTGGTTAGGAGTCGAATGGGATGATCCGACTCGGGGAAAGCATTCGGGAGAGCATCGCGGAGTGAGATATTTCACTTGTAAGTGTCCTCTTTCGGGCTTTGAGTCTTGCGCATGGGATTGAGATCCGAAATCTGGTTAGGATGTATGCTCACATGTTTCAGGCAAAAGCAAACACCCTACAGCGGGGTCATTCGTTCGTCCGTCTCGTCCGGCGGATAAACCTCGAGGATTCATCGAGGCGCTGCGCGAGAAGTACGCGTCTGAGTACCTCGAGCAAGAGATTGTCAGGCAAGGACAGCGAAATGACGCTACGGGTGATGCTCTGCACAAGCCCATTGAGATCAGCGGCAAGGTCGTTGAGGAAGTTGGTTTCGACAAGATCCGGAAGCAGCTTGCAAGGCTCCAGGAGCTGAAGATCGTGCTTCTTGATGGATTGCAAGTTGCGGGTGTGCTGGTGCATCATGCATCAGCTGAAGAGGTCGAGTCTGCATATGCAGAGATTGAGCAGACTTGTCCCCAGATTACCGAGCTGGATCTGAGCCGGAACTTGTTGACGTCTTGGAGTGGTGTAGCTCGGATTTGTGAGCGGTTGAAGTTCCTTAAGGGGCTGAAGCTGATGTAGGTTCTCTTGGACTGAGACGGTTGATTTGGATTGGGCTAACATGGTAACAGAGGAAACCGGCTCGGTCATCTCGAGGAGGGTTTGAAGTTCGAGGGCATCATGACACTGCACATTGACGAGACCCTTCTAACATGGGAGGAGATATCAGCATTGACCTATCAATTCCCCGTTCTCAACACACTTTCCGCTTCAGCAAACCAACTCTCAATGCTGACAACCCCCCTTTCCAACACCATCACCCGCCTTACCCTAGAGAATAACGACATCACCTCCCTATGCTCCATCAAATCACTCGCCTCGCTCTCAAGACTAGAGCACCTCTCTCTCCGCGGAAACAACATCTCCACTATCCACGACGCCAACAACACCTCAGACACAACCCTCCAATACCCCAAAAGCCTCCACTCCCTCGACCTATCCCGCAACAAGATCACATCATGGGACTTCATCAACCACCTCCCCTCCCTATTCCCAGGCCTAGACACCCTCCGCATATCCGGCAATCCACTATACGACCAGCCCGTGGGCCCATCGCACATCACCGGCGTTCCCGAGAAACCCATGACAGTCGACGAAGCGTACATGCTAACCCTATCCCGCATCGGCTCTCTACAAATGCTCAACTACGGCAATATCACCCCCAAAGACCGCAATAACGGAGAACTATACTACCTCTCCCTCATCGGAAAGGAGCTATCCGCTTCCCCAGAGACAGCAGAAGCAGGCATCCTTGCTAAGCATCCCAGATACAAAGAGCTGTGTGAGTTGTATGGCCAACCTGATATCAGAAGGGCCGAGTCAGGGGCTGGTAGTGCTGCTGTGAACCCGCGGTCTGTTGCTGCGAGGCTGGTAAAGTTGGTGTTTCGTCTATCTCAGACCGAGAGTGTCGGGTCAGAGGGAGTTACTACCAAGGTTAAAGAAGTCCCTCGGTCGTTCGATACATATCAACTCAAGGCTATTGTTTCTCGACTTTTTGGGCTACGGCCTTATAGCTTTAGATTGGTTTGGGAGACTGATGAGTTGGACCCGGTAAGCAAGGAGAAGATGGAGGATGATGAGGGCTGGGATAGTGAAGATGATGGGGAGGGAGGTGTTGATGGTGCTACAGAGCAGGAGGTGAAGGCGGCTGAAGAGCCGGGGTTCGTGAAACGCGAGGTAGAGCTCGTGGATACTACGAAGGATATTGGGTTCTGGTTTCAGTCGGATATGGCTGAAGCAAGCATTAGGGTTGAAATTGTGGCTTAATTGCTTTCAAATATTATTGGTGGAATAAAATACCCCTTGTGATAAGAGATCATAATGACCAATCGTTGTGCAGATGATGCAACAAGGAATATTTAATTCGTAATCTTCACGCGCCGCCTCAATTCTCACTTCCAGCTCTACCATGAAAGCGCACCCGCACACCACTCATAACTAAGCTTCTGAAAAAGACTGGCTATAAAGCAACAAAAAGCCTCCCAAGTCTATGCCGTAATCCAGCACCAGTAAAAATACTTGCCAAGTATATCGCACTCTACTCAAGAGAGATGGGCCACCCTTGCAGACTTACCATGCAAACAACGGGCCTTTATTCCTGATCTGCTCACCCTTCCACGTAAAAATACCGATACAAAAGGGATAAAACACCACAGGAAGTGCCGCGAACACGGTGTAGGGGACCTTCGGTCCAGCAGGAGCTTCGATCCACTGGGGGAGATAGAACGGGGGATGGAAAGTCTGCACGGCAAAGAAGAACTGAAAAACGATAGTTACCTCTGCTGCATCTTCCGGATAGCATTCTGTCATGTAAGTCAAGAGAACGGTAACCATGATCTCCTGCCCGAACGTGAATAAACCGATTCCCGTCAGAGCCGAAGCCCAGCTGTCTCCGAACTCGAGTTCGAGTCCGTACAAGAGTAAACCAGCCTAGATATGGAATATTAGGGTTATGGCTCGTAAATTACCAGTTTATTATCATCATGTGCTTACCGAGACAGTGACCAAACCTGTCCACACGAGATGAAGTAGCCGTTCCGGCTTCCAAACCTGGCCTCGCCGCATTGTGTACTTTGTGAGCAAGTCGCAGAGTGGCCCTCCAAATAGTTCGCCAATCCCGGCCCCGATAACACCGGAAAAGTAACAGAAGCCTACCTGGGCTAGATTGAATTTCCAGTGAGTATCTAGGCCGAAGTTGAGGGCGAAGCCCGCTGTGTTGCCGACTTCAGTCATGTTTGCAACCCCGAACCAGAAGGAGGGAAGAACAACGGCAGGATACGCGAACATCTTGTAAGGCTTGCGGAAGGTTTGAGCCCAAGTTTCGTTTTCGGGGACTTTGGGGGTACGAAATTTGAGGAAAGAGAGGAAAGCGTTTCGCTTCGAGTCTTGGGGCTGGGATGCGGCTGCCGCATTCTCATCTCGTTTGTAGATAGTTTCGGGGACTGAATCAGGGGGAATTCAATAAGCAAAAGGAAAAATGGTGTAATAGCGGAGTATTGTGATTCATTACCGAGAAAAATTTGGGCGATGAACTGTGTGGCGTAGAGGATGGCTGCGATGTACATCGACCACCGCCACCCGAGGCTCTTATTGTATGCGATGGAGCCACCGGCCACTCCACCTACATACGGACTAATGACAAGCAGGATGCTGTTTATACCCATTCGTGAACCCTTCTCGTGTAGAAAAAACATGTCGGAGATGGCAGCGGGTCCAATGGACAAACCGACGCTGCCGCCCAGGTTCATGACCATTCGACAAGCTAGAGCTTCGGCGTACGTTTGAGACCGAGCCACTCCAATTGCACTGAGCAATGCTATCAAATTCCCAATGAGAAGTACAGGCCGTCGACCAATCCGATGACTTAGCGGAATCCAGAAGAAGGACGTTATTGCGTTCAATATGGAGGGTACAGAGCCGATGTAGGTCGCAGTGGTTTTGCTTACTCCAAACTCCCTGGATAGCTCAAGAGCATCGGGAGCCTGAAAGAGCGGTTAGATGGAAATGATTCAAGAAGGTATCTGGGTGTGTTAGTGAACCTACAATGAGAGTGGCTGAAAACTTGACCAGGAATGACTCAAACGCGAGAACCACGAGAGCCGCGTGCTTGGTGAATGTGCTCCAATTCTGTAGGTAATCGCTCTACCGTCAGGACGATCTGAATAAATGACTTCGCAGTAGGGAGACGTACCAAGGGATCTTCCGGATCGTCACTTGGTTGAGGCACGAGGATGATGCCTTGCGCGGTCATCTTGGTCCTGGTATTGATCTCCCCTTCGTCGGATGACGCAGGGTTCTTTGGCAGGATCTCCATTTTTGAACGATCTTTCTGTACACCAAATTTCGGTCGAAAAAATGTGCCTGACAAGTGGTCTGAGTGGTGGGTTTGTGGTGAGTATAGCGGGAGTCCTCTCTGTCACATCACAAACCCTAGCGCGGAGAGTATCACGACCCTCAGGGGGTGAACCCAGCACAATTTTCGTGTTCTTGGCCTTCATTTGCTGTCGGAGCCAGGATTCGCAGGCTGCTGCCATTGTGTGTGTGGGAAGGACTGGTTGGGCTTATCTGTCGCCGGCGCTATCTGGGCCGGTCTTGCACGCTAAGGCCATGGTTGCATACGGCCTGCACTGAGTGGTCTAATCATCCATATACCCTTGTCGAAATGAGGGGGTGAACGCCCGCCTCCGAGCCATTATAAGGAGGCCATCGGAGCACCGGTCAAGTGTTGTTCTTTCCCTTCTCCTCAAAATTCCCCCGAGTTCCGGCTCTCCCGGCTGTTCTCACTGCATCCAACCACCATGACTACAGCCACGGAGAAGGCAGCAATGCGAAAAGCAGCTCGTCGAGTGCCGCCCGAGCTGCGACAGCGCACGGCACGCAGCTGCGATCGTTGTAAGGCAAGAAAACACAAGTGCCTGCAAATCCCCGGGCAAGCTCGCTGTCAGCACTGCGAACATTTCAATTATACCTGCAAGACCACCAAGCCTAGAAAGAAAAGACTTTATGGCAGCGCAGACAATGTGCGCGCTCGAATTGCCTATCTGGAGGGCATAGTAAAACAATACGTCAATGCTGAAGGAGACCTTTCCTCTCTCGAAGTCCTGCAGGAGCTTGGAGCGTCGTTGAACATTTCTGTTGGCAACATCCAAGATGTCAAGCTTGATTGTCCAGAGATCGATCCATACGAGCCAGAACAGTCACAAGAGCTGCAAGACTCTCAAGAATCTCAAGAGCTCGAAGAGTCCGAAGAGCCTGAAGATCCCGAAGAGTCCCAAGAGCTGCAGGACTCGCAAGAGCCACAGGAGGACGCCAGGGCGACATCCACTGAGCAGAACGAGGAGCTTGTTCAAGACCAGCAAGGCCAAGATCAGTACATCGGCCCTGCAAGCTCCTATTTCTTCCAAATGAAGCTCAGGAGCCTCCTGGGGCGTCAACGCCAGCACCCAAGGTGTCAGATGTATCTCTTCGGTCCCAATCCTACCGAGGAGACTCTGAAACCATTCGCTAGTGATGTCCTCACAGATTTCGATGTCCGAGCGATTGCGATACCTTCGCAACTTGGTGTGGATGCCGCTTGTCTACCGTACTCGGTGCCTTTGCTGGACCATTTCGTCATCGAGGGACTGATCCGAGCTTATTTCGACTATGTCAACGTCGACTTCCCTGTTCTCCATGAAGCCTCGTTCTTGGAGACCTTCAATAGATGGCGAGTTTCACCAAGTTCGGTCGACCGACCGTGGGTCTGTGGTCTGTTATGCGTATTGCTCCTGAGCCGACGCATTATGCCGCTAGGTACGACTGAGACTCAGCAGCAAAAATGGTGGACTTATGTCGAGTCACTCTTGCCGAGCATGATCTTCACGAACAATATCCATTCAATCCAGGCACTGATGCTGGCTGCCTTGCATCTTCACAACACAAATCATCGTGACGCATGCTGGACTCTGACTGGAGTAGCAGCCCGGATCGCAGTTGCCATTGGACTTCATCGCGATGAAGTAGTGTGTGAAGGCCCGCAACTGAATAGAGAGCTTAGGAGATCACTTTGGTGGACTCTCTATAGCTTCGAGCAGATTCAGGTCTCCTCTCATGATCGGCCCAGTGCCATAGAAAGTACATTAGGCTCCACTTCGCCGAATGAGAGAGTACTCAACATCAATACCTCCAATTGGCCTGCAGATTATGCGCCCTGGTCGACAAAGCTTGTGTCCATCCTAGGCCTCGTATGCCGCGCACTGCCAAATCTCACTAGCGAGAGCGGCTTTTCCTCCGTCGCTGAATTACTTGGGGAATTGACTCTGTGGCATACATCGCTACCACAGCATCTGTCCCTCCAGGGATTCGACATGTTGCCCGATGGACACAAGAGACCGGTTCTCTTGCTGCATATCCAATATCACTATACGGTCTCTTTGCTCACTCGCCACTCATTGTTGCGACACCTTGCTTCCACGATTCAAGGGCAGACCAGTGACATGAATGAAAAAGAACTCGAGACAATCGCTAGGGTGTGTTGCGAATCCGGTCGGAAAAGTTGCGAATTGTTGTTGCATCTTGATATGATCGGAAAGTTCAATGCTGTGACCTGGTGGGACATCTATTACGTGTATTCCTCGGCATTAGTTATGACGCTGAGTATCTTGTCCGATTGTACGCGACAGCAGAGTAAGGGGCATAGCAATCATGAATCGCTCTCCCTGCTCCACAACTGTGCGCTCATTCTTAACCGTCACTCGGGTAACCCGATGGTGCCCGATACCATGCGTCGCTGGATTGGAGCTATCTATGACATCGACATGTTGGTTCATGAAAGAGTAAGCCCGACGCAACAGGAACCTTTCAATCAACAGGCACCTTTCAATCAACAGGTACCTTGCAATCAACAGGCACCTTTCAATCAACAGGTACCTTGCAACCAGCAGGTACCTTACAACCAGCAGATACATTGCAACCAACAAGCACCTTTCAACCAGCAGAGCCATAGCATTACCCATTCAGGTATCGCTAATACTCTCGTCGAGCTTGGTTCTCAAAGAGATATGTATGGCTCCTTTGCCAGGAATGAGTTCTACCCCAACACAGAGCACAACGCCTTGCAGATGAACCCAGAAATGGGTATGGTCATGAACGGCAACAATGTTCCTGGGATGCCCATGCCGGTTTGGGGTGGTGAAAATGAATATTTCTCTTGGGACTCAATCGGGTGCATGTTGCTTGGAGTGGAGGCACTCGACAGCTCGTTCGGGCTTTGATGTGTGCTGGTGGCCTCTGATATCATATAGCAATAAAAGAAAAACCCCAGGGGGTGTTTGCTTAGGTGCTGTTATAAAAGTGACAGAAAAGGAGAGAAAGGGGAAGAAGAAAGAAAAAGAGGAAAGAAAAGAAAAAAAAGAAAAAAAAAAAAAGGAAAAACATTTCGCAAATTGCTGGAAAGTGCTGGTGTTTTTTGCGTTGAGGTTGCGTCTCAAGGTCCAAAAGACTGGCTAGCCTAGATGTGCAATCACATTGTTGGCGCCTGTTTCAGTTGGGGGTGAGCCGTGTATAAGTAGCTCATCGGTGTCCCAGCATGCTTGGACAATTAGTTGCACTCGATGCCACTTAATACCGAAAGAGCACCAGTTGCTGAAGGTTTTCTGCGTGACTTGTTATGTGGCTCGCTGAAGACTCCTTTAAGTGTTCACTGGCACCAGCTGCGTCATGATGCCAAAAGATAAACCGGTTACTCGGCATATGTTCACGGCTCACCAGATTGCCCCACTATCTATATCGCAGTGTTTTCGAGTTAGTCGAGGTATGTGAAATTTCATTGAGAGAGGGAAAAGGAGGAGTGTAAAAGAAGAACAGAGATGGAATAATCAAGGTGTGAGAGGAAAACGGGAAATCACAGTTCATGTTATTTAGTTTTTCAAGTCAACACCAGAATGCCAGATTATCGATTGCGTTGACCAAATTTTTCTGCGTTTCTGTCGTCCACCAACTTCATGGCCACCGCTTCGAGCACAGCTTAAGAAAGACAGAGGAACTCATGATGCTCACTATACTGCTGCTCATATCGCTGGCATGGTATAACAATAGTATCCGGGTTATTCTTCATGGTGACAATGGCTTTGTGGGCACACTACCACTTGTGTGAGGGCCTTGGCGCGTTCCGGGTAAGGGTGGTGGCAACACGGCTGGTTTTGTCAGTCCCTTCCACCATCGCACCAACATTCACGTTTGCCATCACAATTTCTCTCGGACTTTGGAGAGGGTAACTGGGGCCTGTGTTCGATTTATTGAAATATAGTTCGTATTCCGGGTTCATGTAGGCCGTTACGAGAATATTTCCCATTGTAAACTATTCGCCTGCATGTAACCCGCGGTGGTTTTATAACATCTAGCAGTTCGTTGTCTTCATGCCACAGTGGATTTTTTTTTTCTTATTTTCTCTGTTTAGTCCTTCTCCTTGTTAATTCGATATAAATCTTGTGATTCCCTCATATAAAAGCAAAGCATGGTCTAAAGCGTCGAGAGGGATGAAAATCTGGAACGACAAATGCCTCCTCAAGTGTGGAGTCAAACAGAAATGGATCAACAAGAAGCGGGAGTGTCAGAAAGGAGCACTTAACGAGACTAACACAATTCTGGCGCACATCTCCGTACGGGCCTTATGCCCGAATCAGGCATCTTTGATCTGCGGGTTGATTATAATGGCGGGGCCAAAGTAATGGTCGGGGTGTATCGCCGAGAACGAATAATCACCGGTATCGCAGCTGCCCGTTGTCTCGATCGTCAAAAGCGGGACAACATGCTCCTTGTTATACTAAACAGTGAAGGTGACCAACATGTGTGACAACGGGAAATCCAAATCAAAGACCATAAGTTCCTCGGCATATCCGTTTTGATGGATCGGGGCGACAGGTACTGAAAAATTTAATCGGCGGGGTTTGGTTATACTTTGTAGTCATTTTGGACAACATTAAGGGCGCCAATCAATTATCTTGGCCCATCAGAAGTCGGGATATGCCAGTCCTGTGATAGGCACCTGGATTGTATGACATACAATCTGCCGAGACTGCGACTCGACGTTTGTGGGAATAGCTAGACAGGTTGCAACTGGAAACATGGCAGTGTAAATTTCGGTGACACTGTCAGATCCTTGCTGGAGTAACTAGGAATCAAATGTATTAAGGACTATATCGAAAACTTAGCGGAAGCGATCAGTTTGTACTCTGTAGGGACCCCTTCCACAAACTCAGATGAAAAGCCTCTCTTCATTACCCGATGTTATTGGCCGTGGGGGTTTCTGCAGACTCTACGGAGTAGAGCCGAGTATTAGGCCAGCGGCAGGGAGTGGGACAGTCACGACGCTAGTAATTGATTGTGCAGAATTGTAACAGGGACCCACAGGCTTGAATAGGTGAAAGGTGCCTTCAGAGGACCTCAGTGGTGTCAAGTGGATTCTCCTGGGGTCCACTGAGTGCCGTAGTATGAAAACACTCAATGCGCCCCCTCCCCGCTTCCTTGATGAGCCAGAAGGGATACAAGAATGTCCCAGCGGGATTCAGTAAGCCAGGGTCGGTCAGGAGGTTATGCGGCTGTGACAGTAGCCAATTTCGTAGACTTGAACTGATGATTCATGGTAGAACTGGCATGATGACGGCTTTGCAATAGTCCTAACAGTGATAAACCGGCTAGTTTTGAGAGGCTGTGGTTTCACTGCCCATGAAAATATATAGTGATTAAGTGTCAGCCAAGACATACACAAGTGCGCTCAATGCCTCTGAAAGCAACTAACTGGATATATACCATAGTTATGGGGCACTCTGTAACGAGTTACTTTATAGTTTAATTGTCCTGCAAGTTTGAAAGCGACACAATAGGATGACCAAGATGATCAGCTAAGCTTCACACTAGACTGTAGGGCAAATCAAGTTTGAGGACTCACTCGTCAATAATTACGGATCTTCACCTTTCTCAAGCGAGCACAGGCGACCAATATTCAGGACCTAAATAGACCACCTGCCTCTAAGGTGCTGCGCATCATTCGGGAATTTCGTTAGATTGAAGTGCGTAAATGCTTTGGGGAGGCTGCAAAGAAGGTCCAGACCAAAACAATAGTCGATCGTGACCCGCTATTCCAAATTCGGCAACCATCCGCCAACAACTCGCCGCCTCAACCCCCGCCTTTTCGTCCATCCGCACGTTAAAAGCAGCGTCACTATCCATCAGCATACAATATCGGAGCAGCTTCTCCACCACTATGAACCATCATTCGATCCCTTCCGAGGCTGATACATCACTCAACCCTTCAGTCTCGACTCTTCTCCATCCTTCTCTGACATCAGTTGCCGAAGACGCGTCGACCCTAGCTGCCCACCAGGACCCGCACCTAGTTCCAACCCATCGACAAAGCCAAGTTAGCATTGACGATGACTCGCTCCACGGTCTACAATGTGCCGTTGAAGAGCTCGACTACACTCGACAAGCTCATCAGTCTCATCACCAACACCATCATCAACAACCTCATCTTCAATCGCTCGTAAAACGACCCGACCAACATGTCGACATCCGCACCATTCTTGATCCTCCGAACCTTGATGCATGGCGAGAACGGCTTTTCAATGTCGATGAAATGATAACTCTAAGTGAGGAGCAGTGCGTATCTTTCCCTTTCCTGCAGATACAACGCCCTTATTGACAAGTTCCAGATTCCTTACTTACTTCCCACACATCGACAACGTCTACTCCCACCGGTCAACTCAACACTACAAACGCAAACCGCTGATTTCCCACTACTGGGACTGTCGCCTGAAAGGTCGACCTCCAGGGACACCGAAATCTAATGATCCGAATAAAAAGAAACGTAAGCGTACTGCCCGCCAGCGGGATCTCTGTGATGTAAAGATCAAGATCACAGAGTACTTCCCGGGCCACGATGTCATGGGGTCAGATCTAGGTGTCCTTGACGGACTTGGGGTCCCCGGCCCAGTACTCCAGGAGTCTGCTGTCAGAGAGGAACAACAGGCTCAAGGCCAGCAGTTTGGGTTATTAACGCCGAGCCTGAACCCACCTCTACCAGAGGGTCATCCAGGGGTCAACGGCCAGAGGTATTTTACTATCCAGCGAGTAAATGGGAATGGTGCGAACGGGAAGAACGATGGTGTGAGTGGGGGTCATCGTCATACGCTGGAGGATAGTGACCGCGTGAAGAAGAATAGTGTGCAGCGGTTCTTATTGCAGGAGGTGAAGAAGGAGAAGAGGTCACTAAATGTAAGTTCGTTCGTTTCTATATTCTTGTTGATTGATCCTGGCACAAGCGTGTTACGTCATTCGGCGGAGAAGTGCCTATCGCCGACTATCTTCCCCGCTCGTGAACTGCAACTTCTCTTTCCATCCATCATGCTCCGAAGATCCATTCTTGTGTTGAAACCATTGCTGTTTGGCAATATATCCAAGCGTGCTCCCTCTGCGGTTAGGACTCGATTGATTAATCTCCCTTCTAATTACCACCGCGCACAGACTAGGGTAATGGCTACCCAAAATCAAATTCAGAAACAGTACCATACCAAAGCCACCGGCCTGGCTGCCCAGACGGTCGCGCACCGCTCACAAGACAATGAACTGAAATTGTATGGAAGTTGCTTTTGGTACGTTCACTCTAGTTTATATGCATATATACATCGCCAGCGCTGACCACTGCTAGCCCTTTCGTACAGCGCGTATGGGTTGCCCTTGAGATCAAGGGAATCCCCTACCAGTATATTGAAGTTGACCCCTATAAAAAGCCCCAGTCATTGCTGGACGTGAACCCCAGGGGACTTGTTCCAGCCTTGCGGCACGGGGATTGGGGCTCATACGAGAGCTCCGTATTGCTGGAATACGTATAACTCTAACCCTGCCACTGAACCAACTTGATCCAATCCTAACATGCTTTAGTTGGAGGACCTGAATGTTGGGACACCGTTGCTCCCACCCGGAGACGCCAAGCTGAGGGCGCATTGCCGACTATGGACAGATTTTGTATGCACTCGTGCTTATCATCCCTTTCACTTCTGACAATCACAGATCAACCGCCACATCGTCCCAAACTTCTATCGTGTTCTTCAAGAGCAAGACACCCAGAAGCAAATCGCCAATGCACAGGAGCTCCGAGATGCATTCAACACATTGGTCGGCGCCGCAGATGCGCAGGGCCCGTTCTTTCTGGGCGCCCATATCTCGTTCGTCGATGTCCAGGTCGCCCCTTGGATTATCCGCTTGCGCCGTGCCTTGAAGCCTTATCGCGGGTGGCCAGACCCGGAGCCTGGCAGTCGCTGGGGAGCCTGGGTCGACGCTATTGAGAACAATGAGCACATTCAGGCAACCACGAGCACCGATGAGCTCTATCTGGATAGTTATGAGCGATACGCTCGTAAGTGGATTGCTGATACAACGCGATCACAAGCTGACGTCTTAGAAAACCGTCCAAACACGTCCCAGGTTGCCAATGCGATCAACTCCGGAAGGGGCCTTCCCTAGCTTGTTGCAGGTCACTGCTTTACCATCTAGCATCTTAATACTATTCTGAGCAGCGACCCGGAGTCGCGTCCCACCAACACAGACAGGCGCGATGCGCCAATCCTTGGTGAAGGGATAGCTGTTTCGTTTTCGTAGTCTAGCCTCCACGGGCACCCCTGTGGCCCATTCTAAACCCGCCCCTTCCGCTGCTATCAGGGCCACGAGGACTGCGGATCGGCTGCCTCGGAGATTGCGAATCATCCTCCTTTCGGACATTGCCCTGCTTCTCCCTCCGCGGCCCAAAGCTCGAGTTCGGTTTAGGAGACCCCGGATCGTAGAGCTGCTTAGACTTTCCGGATGCAGCAGACGAGTCCCGCTTGTCACGGTTGTTGTCTCGCCCATTCCCACGGCTTCTCCCTTTGCCTCGGCCCTCGTGTTGTTTAGGCGGGGTAGCACTGCGTGGCGACGACGCGCCAGAAGTAGGGGCAGACGGGCTACCGAACAGCCTCTCCCGGACTTCTTCATATTTGCGTTGCTTCTCTTCCAGATTGCGCAGCGCAATAGCCTGTCGCTCCTCAGGTGTGGGCTGAGGCGGTCTATCCTCATCAGAGTCGTCATCCTCGTTCAACCCCAGTCTTCTCATACCGGCGCTGGCAGTGTCTACTGAAGATGATTGACGCGTAGCTATTTGTGGGTTGCGACTGAGAACAGTGACGGTGGGTTTGAATTCCTGCTTGAGCGGGACATTCGACCGCGCCTCTAGATAGTGAAACGTCTGAGGTGATTCTCTGCAGCGGAAAACGGTCAGGCAACGTCCGCATAGTCATGAATGTGGTATACGTACGCCTCGGCCCATAGCTGGCGGTTAAATTCGGCCTGTTGGGCTCGGCGCTGGGCCTTGGTGACTTTCGAGGAGACTTTCTTCTCCTGCGGAGGCGGGGCGGAGTCTGCAGCGAAAGACTAAGAGAGCGATTAGCCAGATAATTGAGGTAGTCGCACAGCGGCATGCAGAGGTAGTGGTGCACATACATCAGCCTGACTCTCCCAGTCCTCCTCCCAGGCGTCGGGGCCACTTGAGGGCTTTGCGCTCATGGCCAAGGGATATATCGCTATAGCGCGTAGAACAGGCTCTGAACGAGTGAACGACGAGACCCAGAGTCAGTGGGGTCTAGCAAGTAAACCAAAAAGAACAAGTCCAATGTATTAGCCGGGTGGCTTAGACTAAAGGAGAGAATGACCGAGGGGTAAGTAAGACGAGGGGAAGAAAATCGTCTAGTTGGAAGAGGAGTTCAGAAAAGCGGAGGAAAATGGCGGTTGCCGCCTTGTGCTTAGTTAAGATCGCCGACCTCAACTTATCCCCGATCCTACATTTCCATCTCAACTGCACATCAACGAATTGTCTCGCTTTGTTGCTTTCTGTTTCGTCTATTGCTTGCTTTATTGGCTTACCTACTAGTACTTGATAAAATCATATATCATGGCTACCGGTTTGTGCTCATACCAGCCCCTCCACACAGTTCCCCGCTGCCATCACATACAACCAACCTCCACCTGTCTCCCCACCACCCACACACCTTATTAACCATAACCAACCATCACAGACCCAGACGGCGACTCCCAAATGGCATCCTCCCCGGAATCATCCCACGGCCTCTCCGAAGACTCTCACCCGGGTACCCGCACCCCAACCAACAAGCTCACCAACCCGCGTCCTCCTCCCTTCGGCGGCTCAGAACTCTCCCCGCCCGGCTCTCAAACACAAACCGCTACTCTGAACACCCAGGGACAGATGGCCTTCAACCAGAGCCTAATTGACTCTCCGCTTGCGACGCAGACAACTCAGCAGGTACAGCAACAGCAACAGCAGGCACAGCAAATGGATGCGCCGGGCGCGGCGTGGATGAATAAAAGGGCAGAGGAGGAGTATCAGCGCGCGATGGAGTACGTGGTTGATCATGATTTCAATCTGGGTATGTTGTTGATATTTGGATTTCCATGGCTGAGTTGGTATGGGTTGGGTTGGGATGTGCTAATTATTGGATGGTATAGATGAGTTCGGAGATCCGTTTGATGAGAGGGATGTTGAGGAGAAGTTGTTTTGAGGGTGATTCTTGCATTGTGTGGGTATAGCGGTGGTGTTTGGGGAGTTGGTGGTTTATTTTCTCTTTTTTACGCTTGTGATTTGTGATCCGGGGAGTGAGGGTGTATGCATGAGTTATGAGCATGAGATATGAGTTTATTGCATCTGTTTGTCCTTACACAGGGGGGGCTGGGTGCTGAGAGGGTTAGTACTGGTGGAATCCGACCAAGGCCTCTTCAAGTAGTATTTGACTTTCTAAGAACAGCCAGGGACTGAACAGGCGGGCTTGCATAGCTAGCAACACATTGCAGTATTAATGTTTGTCTACCACTTTCAATCCCATAGAACATATCAACAAAGCAACATCTCACACATCATATCCAACTACTACATACCCTTACCCGCAAACACAAACATTTCCAACTCCCTATACGCCCCCCAGAGCTGTGCCTCGAGCGCCTCAAAGCTCGGTGGTCTAATAAAAACATACCGAGCATTGATAATACAATGTGCCTTCATCTGTCTCACACCGTTCATCTCGATGTTTAGCACAACTACCCGTCCTTCCCCAATTTGATCCGAGTTTGTATTGCCCTGTTGCCCGTGCCATACTGATTTCCACCGAAGGTCACATGTTCCATGAAGGCATCTTGAGATATGAGGTCCCCGAACATTGCCTTGTCTATAAAGAAGTAGCTCTTGCCGTGGATTTCGTCGACCCGTGGTGCGCGGGTCGTGTGGGATACAGTGAATGCGAATGTGTCCGGATGTGCGTCGAATATTTTCTTGGTTAGTGTGTCTTTGACGACGCCCGAGGGGTTTAATATTACTATTGGGCCGGGGGTCGGGGGGTGGTGCCGGGGGGTTGTCTGTTAGTTGGGTGGTGGATGGGGGTGGGTGGCAATTGGTTCTATGAGTGTTGGGGGTTGCTTATGTGTCAGGGCGGTTGAGTTTAGTATTTATTGGTGACTACTGCCATCACAAGGAGGGAGGGGGTCTAGATGTAAAGGGGCTGTGGCGGTCGAGCATCATGTTCGGCTAGTTGCATATATTCGTTCATTTCTGGGTGAATATTTGTCAGTATGGCTTGCTTAGCAGTCGTTATGGTTAGCTTGTGCGTTATCTAGCAAGCGGAAAGCAATAGCTATAGTTGCGAAGCCTGCTACTAGATATTTCTGGTGAGATGAGTCGACCCTGTTTACGTCTACTGGTGTTGAATACCTCTTGATCATCAAATGATATGCTCGAATACATCATCGAGAACTAGCACTGTACTATATGGAGTCGGAATGAGATGATGAATAACAGTATCTCATGTGAGAAATCGCATTGATAAATCTTAAAGACACAGATGAACATTATCCTACAAACAAAAACCCTTCATGCAAACATCCAGCTATATCCTGATAGTAAAAATGCATTTCTATTCCAAAACCCAATACAAACCAAACAATCAAGTATGCTAACCCCAACCATAAAACTCCATCAATGTCCCATCACACATAACCATAACCCGAGAAAGAGGACCAGACCATAAGCCCTACACCGGCGACGTATTACTCGCAATCCTGATGCCATTATCTCTCGCCATCCAATGCAAGTCCCTTAGTCGTAACTGGCGCATGTATATCCTCTGCTCTGGAGGGAAGTCGAGGTTCCTCTCCTCACCGTAGAACCCATTAGTCGCAAGGTAATGGATAGAGTAGCCGAAGACAGAGACTACCACGCATCCGAGGATGACGAAGAAGATGATGGCTTCTTTTGCGATGTAGACCATTTTGATTGATTTCTTGTGTAGGAGGGAGAGAGGTGGTGGTGCACGAGGCAGACAGTAGTGGGAACTGTTAGAGGTGAGGGTTAGAGATGGTTTTTAGGGTGAGTGGGTGGGAGACTCACTGTTCTGTAGCAGTATGTATATTGTCGTAATATAATGATTGGAAGTATTCCAGTTATAGTATAACCCTCTCAGAGGTATAGAAGCAGTAGCGATATAGATAGAAAAGTATGAACGTAACGAGCGACTGCACACTGAATCCAAACAGATGTATAGGTATAGAAAGAAGGACGATAGTTGAAGGACGAAAGAATAAAACTCTGCTTCTCTCCATCCATCCTACCTCTCCTGCTCACCTCTTTATACCCTCCCATCACCCAATTTGTCTAATTCTCACTGTGAACACAAGCCCTATCGAAAGATCTATTCTGAGGTATAGATATCGCACCATTTCCAAACGGGTATAGCGTATGGCCCCTATGATGTCATTAGCGAGTGGGCCAATCAGATGTTCATAATTCTCATACAGATAGGGTTTAGCGTGAACAGTATTATAACTCTGGAGGGTATATCAGAGCTGGAATGCCCCGTTGATAGGATGCGGACTTTGTTAGACATGTCTGATGTTCGGGATTTAGTTGGTGAGGAGGATTTGGGGTATGTACGCGTCCCTACTTTTATTGTGTTAAGTGCTTGGCTCAGCGTCAAGCCAAGGCTACCTACCTACCTACCTAAGCAGATGACTACTGATAAAAGACTCTTGACCTGCAAAGCTGATAAATCAATCATATCAAAATTATCTTTGTCTCATATTGTGCAATGTCAGCACTATGCAGTTAATGCATACTGTAATATCTCCCCATCTCTAACCGCATCTTCAACCATCAAAATCACCATCAACACCACCTAAATTACACCATCCATAACTAATAAACCCACATCAAAGCCCTTACAACCCCTTCCCATGCTTCTTCTCCGCCTCCCTATTCTTGAAGGGAAACCCCGTGGTCCTCTTATCCGCCCCAGTCTTCCGACTAATCTTCCCATTACTGCTGGCAAAAAGCGCACACCAGATACCCAACGAAGCAAGCGCCCCGGACACCACCATCCCGACCCCAAACGCCAATTGGCCCTTATCCGCGAACCAGGCGTACGCATACCCGGCCGAAATGAAGTGGAAGATGGTGGTCACTTGCATCGTCGGCACCGCGTAGGGCGCCTTGGGATCAGAGTCATCGGTTGTGACGGGGTCGGTTATGGACGCCGTGAGGGGGATGGAGCCGGTCAGCATGACAGTTAGGATGGCGATTGTGAGGAGGCTCATGCCCAGGCAGCGAGAGAGGTAGGTTTCAATTGCTGTGATGGTATTAGTTTGGGTGGTTGGGAGTGGTGATAGGACAAGGGGAGGGGAGGTACAGGATGGCTGTCTGCTTTCTTGTTCCAGCATTGTGGTCATCATTTCGGGAACGGCGATTAGGGCGACGCTCTGGAGGGAGAGCCAGCCCGCTGTTGAGTAGGTGTAGGCGTAGAATACCTTTTGTTCCTGGCGTTAGCCTGTGAAGTGGTTGGGGGTTTGTAGGGGGATGGTTTAGCTTACGTCCATGGTTGTAGATTTGATATGGTTCTGATTGTGGTTCGTGATGGATTGTAGTACTAACGTTAAAATTGAAATTGAGTAAAGGAACCAACAATTGAAGAGAGAGCTGAGGACTACCGAGCGATACCTGTCTTATAAGGTAGAGCTCGTGAGGTCATTGCTAGCTCAAGCGCCCATGATGTCATTCATTCCCAGTTGGCAGATCTACGGCTGACTCATCCAGCGCAGCAATCCAGGCACCGTTGCTTTGTTATTCAATCCGGGTTTGATTGAATGCAGGGATTATTGCGATATGGGATGAATTGAAAGTGTTGGCTGTGTGACAGTGTTCTGACTGACTGGTCTCGTGAACGATGTTGGTGTCCCGTTCCGCAACGGTAGAGCCAAGATCTTAAGGCTACTTAATCTGCGATGATATGCAGTTCCACGTCATTAGACTGTCTTTGAACATATTGGCCTGGGAATGGAATTTATATTAGCTAGATGGACTGGAAATGCATTCAATGTACTGGTATGAGCAGTCACATCTAACCATGGCTTTGCCATATACGAACGTCCACTGAGAACTGATCAGTCGAACAGTATGCTTTTGAATTAAATTCTAATCATTTATTCATGATGATAAGCCAATATCAACGCCTTCGTACACCGATATATGTAGAGTCAAAATGCATGTCCCGCGAGATCATTTCCTTCCTAGTTAATGTTGCTCTTGCGCAGGTATCTGGCGAAACTGTGATCCGCATCCGAAGGAGCGCTCTGATCTGCCAGCGCATCCTTGTACCGCTGTGAGAGTCCCTCATCGTTACCCGCTGGGGGAGCACCGCCATATCCATCTTCATCGGAATCGTCATCGTCGTCGAACCCTCCCTGGCCAGCCGCATCTTCTGCCTCTTCTTCCGCTTCACTGACGGTCTCGGCTTCGTCCTTGCGCTGACGACTAGAGCTGGAGACGCTCATATCCTTCATCAGCTTGCCCAGCTCCAACTCCCGTTGGGCAGCCTTGGTCTCCTCGCGTTCCTTCTTCTTGCGCTCCAGCTCCGGCTTGTAGTCACGCTCGAACTCCTGGCGCTTCTCTTCCACGGCAGCGAAAAACTCATCAATACCATCACCCGTCATGGAACTCACACCAACGACGTTCAAGTGACGGTAAAACTCCTCCAGCATCAAGCTCATGCTGTTCAATAGCGATCCCATGTATCCACTTCCAGCGCCGAAGCCACCGGCTCCACCCTCTGCACCAAACGCACCCGACTCTTCTTCTTCCCGCAGCGCCTGCTGGAACGCATCGAAGTCGGACATCCATTCCTTGGCAAACTCGGCATCCTGCACGTCGGTCTTGTTGAAGACAAGAATCATCGGCAGCTTGGTCTTGTACAAGATACTGCAGGCGTAGAGCATGTTACTCATGAATGTGCTGGTGGAGCTGGTGCGAGGGGTATCAATGACATAGGCGATGACGGTAGGGAAGGAAGATGCCAGGGTCTCGAGGAGAATGCTTCCAGATGCGCTCCATACGAACACCTCAATCTGTCCGGGGGTGTCGACGAGGATGTGCTCAATGGGCTTGGCGGAGGGGTTGCTCGGGTTCGGAGCGGTGCGCTTCTCCAACAGGGCGATGATCTGGTCGACCTTCGTAGCGAACAAGTTGAGGGAGGTGAGAATGCCGCCGTTGGGGCCGAGGTTGTACTGCTTCATGACTTCTCTGTAGTTGATGGAGTCGCGGATGTCAATGTTGCTCTCGAAAGGAACGGAGTAGACGGCGGGGTCCAGGTTCAGCACGTAGGGAACCTTCTTCTTCGAGTGGAGATGCGAGTTGATTCTCTGCATGAAAGTCGTCTTTCCGGAGCCTAGGTAAGAGAGCTCGTCAGAAGATGAAATTGAGATGGGAGAGCAGTATCGGCATACCTGCCATGCCGACGCAGACGACGGCCACCGGTGATTGCGCCATGATGAAAAATTGGTAATAGCAAAGCTATCAAGCTCGACAGTAGTTTATGTGAAGCTTGACAAGCTAAAAGCTTCAGACAAGTCCGGATAGGATGGTGTTGAGGGGGAACAAGTGAAGCGGGGAGCCGAAGAAAAAGGAAAATGTTGCGTCGCGGGGATGGAGAGATCGGCTCGGGTGGAGTCTGGACCGCCCAGACGTCATTCCGTCCGCAGCCTTTTCTTCGCTTCTTCCTCATTTCTCTTTCCTCAGCAGCTCAACCATCACAATGACACTCGAGGATTTCGAAAAATCGCTAGCGGAGGAGCAGGAACACAGACGCGAGAAGAGCGACAGGAGTCGGCATCGCCATCACCGCGACCGCGACCGTGACCGTGACCGCAGCCGAGAGCGCAGACACCACCACCGTCGTCACCGCTCGTCCAGGTCGAGAGAGCGCGACCATGAGAGACGCCGGGATTCGCGGCGTAGCGAGGATGACGGGCATCGCCATAAGCGATCGCGCCACTCGACCGACCATGGAGATGATCGTGAGCATGAACACAAGCGCCGACACCGCGACAGCAGAGATGAGACGGACGCGCCTGCCCCGGTGGAAGAAGTCGTACAGGAAGAGCCTACGCGCATGAAGAGAGATGCCTGGATGCAGCCGGATGGACTTGATGTCGACTACGTTCAGAGACGCAATACGACGCGTTTGGAAGAGGAACCAAAGCCGAAGATGCTGCAGGCAGACTTTGAGCTGAAAATCCACGGCAAGGAGCTCAACACCCATTTACACGATTTGAAGGAGGGCAAAGTGCTGGAGGAGATTGAAGAACAACCAGCGCAGCACGAGGTGGACTATACGTTTGGTGATGAGGGTGCTCAGTGGAGAATGACTAGGCTCAAGGCTGTTTATCGGGAGGCAGAAGAGACTGGCAAATCGGTCGAGGAGGTCGCCATGAACCGGTTTGGAGACCTACGATCGTTTGATGATGCACGGGAGGAAGAAGCAGAATTGGACCGCCGCGAACGGTACGGTGAAGGTTACGTGGGCAAGGAGAAGCCTACGGGTGAACTCTTCCAGGAGAGAAAGCTGGAAGAGGATGTCCACCGCGATCCCCATGAAAATCTCCGCAGTCCCGGCAAGGAACTCGATGCTCAGGGCCAGGGAAAACCAATGGAAACTGTGCCACCGCCAAACACGACACAACATCTGGATCTGACGGCTCTCAACCGATTGAAGGCTCAAATGATGAAAGCCAAGCTCAAGCGCGCGCCAGATGCAGCCGAGCTCGAGGAGCGCTATAATGCAGCCGCAGCTGCCATGTCAAACCGGAAAGAATCCGATGTGGTGGTTCTGGGCGTTATGGAGAACCGGATGCTGGCTGGCACTCGGAACGAAGTGAAAGCAGTTGATAACCGGCGCGGCCGTGAACGCGGCAAGGTAGAGGAGAACGACGAAATGACAATCGAGGACATGGTCCAGGAAGAGCGTCGCACCCGGGGGCAATTTGGAGGCGACGGTCGACGGATGGCGGAGCGAATTGCCAAAGACTCGAAATTTGAGGTGAGTACATTACTAAAATACTCACGAATACAATGCTAACGTAGACAGAATGACCTGGAATACATGGACGACAATGCCTCCAAGCTGGCCAAGCGGGTGCACCGATCCGAGATCGACATCAAGAACATCACCATCAACGAGCTGCAAAAGATGAACCGCATCCTCGACAACTGTCCTCTCTGCCATCACGAAGACACGAATACGCCCCCCGTTGCACCCGTAGTGGCATTAGCAACGCGGGTCTTCCTCACTCTTCCCACGGAGCCCGAGCTCAACGAGGGCTGTGCCACCATTGTTCCCATCCAGCACCGCACGAACCTACTCGAGTGCGATGATGATGAATGGGAAGAAATCCGAAACTTCATGAAGAGTCTGACCCGCATGTATCATGACCAGGGCCGCGACGTGATCTTCTACGAGAACGCAGCTCAGCCGCATCGCAAGCGACACGCCGCCATGGAAGTGGTCCCTCTGCCCTACAGTCTCGGAGAGACATCTCCGGCCTTCTTCAAGGAAGCCATCCTCTCCTCGGACGCAGAGTGGTCCCAGCACCGCAAGCTGATTGACACCCTAGCCAAGTCCAAGCAAGGTATGGGACGGAGTGCCTTCCGGCGGTCGATTGCGCGGGAAATGCCCTACTTCCATGTATGGTTTGAGCTAGACGGCGGACTAGGCCATGTGGTGGAGGATGAGAACCGCTGGCCTCGGGGGGATCTTTTCGCCCGAGAAGTCATCGGAGGAATGCTGGATCTGGCGCCGGATGTGATTAAGCGGCAGGGACGCTGGCATCGCGGTGGAGATCGGCGGGTGGCTGGCTTTCAGAAGCGATGGAGAAAGTTCGACTGGACACGCGTGTTGGTGGAGGGCGCACCCTAAACTCTGGTGGAGTTAGTTCCTTAGTTAGTCTGTATAATGAGGGCGCTTCGTATGACTCACTCAGTCATCCTTAACTATAGCCATTGATGTCTATATACTCTACATCGCACCAACCGGAGATGAAGCCGAAGTGTCAACTCGATAACGGGAGCGGGGCCGTGGGGGTTATTTCCCTATCTCTGTTCTGTATAGACTGCTACCCTTTAATTCTTCTCTAATTCTTTCTTTCCTATCGGTCATTTGATTTCACTCCCTCTCAGTACTCCAAACACTGTAAGCCAATTCCCGTTCCCCAAATAGTAATCTCCTAGTGGAGTCCCACCCCCACTCGGTATATAACCGCCCGAGGATCTATCGTCGGCAACCCCCACGACATCCAACTCTCTCCAATACTTCTCTCACTACCTTCCTCCCCTCTACTCCCTAACAAAAACCCATAATCAATCAGTTACACAAATACGAAAACAATGGGCTCCAGCGACCCCAAACCCAAAGTTCTCCTCCTCGGAGACATCATCCAGTACGTTTACACCCTCCATCACTACCCATCAATCACATCATCATCATCATCATCATCCCCGCACCCAAAACACTACCCCTCCAAACAACCAACCCACCACGACATAACTAACAAGAATAATCTCTAACAGCGCCCACAAAACCTGGTCCTCCCTCTCGGACATCGCCGACCTAATCCGCCCAACAGCCACGAACCGCACCGAATTTATCCAAGAATGCCAATCGGGCGCCCTGGACGGCGTCATCGCCGCATACCGCACCTTCGACAGCGTGAAAATCACCGGTCTGGTCGACGAGGAACTCGTCAATGCGTTGCCTAAGTCGTTGGTTTATCTGGCTCATTGTGGTATGCCAACCCTACCCTACAATACACTACAAGCCCTCCCGACACCACTATCGAAACGAACAAACATGCTAAAGAATGATTCTAAATGCAGGAGCCGGCTACGACCAAATCGACCCGCACGCATGCAGCGCACGATCCCCAACCCCCATTCGGATCTCCAACGTCCCCACAGCCGTGGACGACGCCACCGCCGATGTAAACATGTTCCTGATCATCGGAGCACTGCGGAACTTCAACGCGGGCATGCACGCCCTCCGCGAAGGCAAGTGGCGGGGCCAGCCTGCGCCGCGACTGGGACATGACCCGCAGGGTAAGGTGCTGGGGATTCTGGGGATGGGAGGAATCGGGAGGAATTTGAAGAAGAAGGCGGAGGCGTTTGGGATGCAGGTGATTTATCATAATCGGAGGAAGTTGAGTGAGGAGTTGGCGGATGGGGCGAGGTATGTGAGTTTTGATGAGTTGTTGGCGGAGAGTGATGTGGTTAGTTTGAATTTGCCGTTGAATGTGAGTGTCTTTTTCCCCAATGGCCTTTGGGTGGTTTGGCTTGGGGGTATGTATGTGCTGACGATAGATAGAAACATACTCGCCATATTATCAGCACGGCTGAGTTCGCCAAGATGAAGGATGGTGTCGTGGTTGTTAATACTGCGCGCGGTGCTGTCATGGATGAGGAGGCGCTCGTGCAGGCGCTTGATAGTGGGAAGGTGTATTCCGCTGGGTTGGATGTCTTTGAGGAGGAGCCCACGGTGCATCCGGGTTTGGTCCGCAATCCGAATGTCTTGTTGGTGCCGCATATGGGTACTTGGACTGTTGAGGTGAGTGTTCCATTACTATCATAATCGTGGTGATCTATCTCAGTACTAATGCTATGGATGCAGACGCAAACTGGCATGGAGGAGTGGGCGATAGAGAATGTCCGCATGGCGCTGGAGACGGGCAAGTTGAAGAGTCCGATCCCAGAGCAGGCGGATCTATGATACCATATTGTACACAGTACATACAATAGACTACGATAGATGGGGCCAGTCGGAAATACATATATACAAGATGTTCATTATTCATTCTTCTGCAAAAAAAGACTCGCGGCTTGTCAGGGCATCCCCATTCAAGCAAGCGAATTGAGCCATGATATAGATAGATAATCGACAAGAATGTAAACCACCACCTTATCAGCAATGCAGCCGTAATAACGCCATGAAAACTGCCATCCAGCTGCAGCGAAACTGAAGCGAATCAACTCCGGAGTCGTGATGCGACGGCTTCCCCGTATGTCCGCGGTCCGGGAGAGAAGCATGGCCCACCAACCGGTTCCATCCAATCTGGGCCAGAGTTGGGGAAAATGTGAACAATAAGCTGGCAACAATGAATGAGCAAAGCAAAGTAAAGAGAAAGGAAAATCTAGTTAAACATCATCAAAGGTAGTCGCCAATCGCTTTTTCATATTACAGGTCGCAAATAGATATCGTCAGTGCATGCCAGCCGGCTCGGATCTACTCCCGCGAGACAATCCAGGACCGAACCACCATGCCGCATATGCGCTTGATCACCTGGGTGGTGCCTTTGCCGCCCGCTTCCTGCTCCAGGAACTTCTGCGCCACGTACAGCTTCGCCCCCGCGTCCTTCTCGTTCGTCGTAATTGGTTGCGGGAAGCTGCGCGGGAAGTCTGCCCACCGCTGGCCCAGATGCCGGGCAATGGCAATCGAGTAGATCACGTCACGGTTCTCAAAGGTATCCAGCAAGGTACGGCACCGTGCGAGCGTGTCATCGATCTCCTTGGCCGAGCTCGCTTCGTTATCGTGCAGCGTCAAGAAGTGTCCGATCGCGCTCCAGAAATCCAACGACCGCTGCGTCAGCTGATCGGGCAACAAAGGAGGGTTGGCCGCTGGTTCCCGGGTTGGAAACTGCGCCAGCGGGTTCGAGTCCAGGTGTTCTCCCGTGATCATCGACTCAATGACATCCAACCGCTTGGCAGCAGCCAAAAGATCGAATTCTGGTTGGGTTCCCGTAGAGACATTCATCACATGGCGACACAAAGTCATGGAGCTCCAGACGACCGACGCTTCGAAGCTCTCCAACCGCGCCAGCACATTGGGATCGCCCAGGTTGGGATCATTGAACGCATCGATCAACGCAGAGTACTCAGCCATGAGCTGCGCGTTGGCCAAAAGATGTGTCAATGCCTTCTCCTGGAACCACCGAGTCTCGAAGAACTTGTCAATGGCGGGGGCGTATGTCGCCAGGAAGACTGCCTGAATTTCTTCCAGACGGTTTGGCGGGAGGGAGGTGATCGGGTGAGGGGGAGGAGGCGGAATGCCGCGTAGCGCGAGAAGGTCGCTGATCTGAACTTGTTTTACTGCTCACAGTTAACAGACGTACCGCAAAACACGTTTGGATAAAGCTTACATCTGACGTTGGTCGGCTCTGACGGGGTAGCGCTGGTGCTTGTCATGGCGGGATTGACCGTCGGCTGCAGACCTCCCTCCACGGCATGCTGAATGCTGGCCATGTTGCTATTGTTGTTCACGTCCAGCGATGGGTCAATTGCAGTGCCGTAATCGTAGCGTTCACTCGGCGGGGCGGGCGACTCAGACGGGGCAAACGGTTGGGAGGCAGCTGGCATGTAACCCGGAGGCGCAGCGGGATATGAAGTGGAGGGATCCTGAGGATTGACCACCAAGGAAGGATGAGGATTGGGAGCAGGCTGAATGGCGGAAGGCGTGGGTTGCTGCTTAAACACGGGGTCGTAACCTAAGCATTCACGCTTGCTCTTGACACAGTTGCGGCAGACAGGATGCCCTTCGTCACACTAATAATAACGGTCAGTGGCAAGTCTCAGCCGACAGAGAGTGGTCTGCTAGAGCTTTGGAAAATAATGAAACAGAAGAATAAGCACGAGGAAGGAGGTTGAGGGATGGCAGCGAAAAAAGGGCAGCGCAGGCAGGCGGGGAGCACAGCGATAGGCGAGTGGGCGCAAACAACAACAAGCGACCGGCGGGGTTGCTGCTGCACAAGCGAAAGGCCCGCCCCTCCGCCATTCCTTCCTCTCCCCGCCTCTCTGTGCCTTTCTAAACTCAACTGCATCCCCCTTTCTCTTCCTCCAATCCCGTCGCAATTATTGCTGAGGGGTCGAATTTCTTTCTGTCATAATTTGCTGGTACGTACCTTGATTCTTCGCTTACGACAGGTGAGACACCCCGTCTTCGTCCGACGTTTCACCTCCTTCTTATGCCGTCCGCCCGATAACAGCTTGTTGGGATCTCCCGGTAGCTGATAGCGCATCTGCGCGTTTGCATTCATGCCCATTTGCCCGACATTGGTAGGGTATCCGGTCATGTACTGGCCCACTGACGGCATCGGAGGCATATTGGATGGCATCGGTGAGCCAATAGGTGCCTGGGGAATCTGCGACGATTGTCCCGAAATGGCATGATGATCCATGGGCTGCATCGAAGGCGCATTCATTGAGGGGGAATGGCTCTGGTGGTTGTGGTACATGTCCGATCCTTGTTGCGGCTGCTGTTGCTGCTGCTGATACTGATGCGGCTGTGGCTGCCCCGGCGTATATTGCTGCGGCTGCTGCGACGGTGTATGTTGTGGCGCAGGCGTAGACTGATGGGAGGGTGAATGTGAATGCTGCGGTGGCTGCGCATATTGCTGATGATATGGCTGCTGCGGTTGAGGGGTCTGACCCGGCGTCGTCTGCTGCTGCTGCTGCCCTGGCTGCGGCTGATGTTGTTGCTGCAGTGGTTGCGACTGTTGCTGGGCTGGCTGTTGCAGCGGGGTGCCATTCACAGGAGACTGATACGTAGGAGCAGGCGTAGATGACTGCCCGGATTGCTCGGTAAAATCAAAGCTGGACGTTCCTGGCCCTGAGTGCGTAGGCTCCGACATATGACCTTCGTTGGTCAACGACTTGGTGTCAGGAAAGGAAAAGTCAGGCTCTCCGCCCGGCAAATGCCCATCTGCAGCCGGCAGTGTGGTGTCCAGTGGTGGCAGCGAGGTGTCAATGGGCGGCAAGGAGGGTATTGTCGCGTCGATCGGGGGCAGCGAATGATCAAGGTTTGGTAGGTGATCGTCCATTGCCGGCATAGTAGAATCGATCGGAGGCAGAGATGTGTCTATCGGTGGAAGGGAATGGTCTGTCGTTGTCGACTGCGTGGTCTCAACAGGTGGTAGTTCGGTCGATTCAGGAGCCGGGTTAGGCGGCTCGCCCGACGTGTTCGTCGGCTCTGTAGTGTCGGCCATCTCAATGGTGAAGTATATTCACTTGGGAGCTCGAGAACACTGGATAAATGAATGTTGAATAAGATCAAACCGGCAGTGAAATGAGGACTTGTCGAGGACACGTAGAACTCTGCGGCTGAAAGAACTTGCAGGGGTGCAACGATCGCGAGGTGCTATTTTCTCTAGTCTGGAAGACAGGCGTGTTAGTGACCAGACCTCGGCCCAGAAATTCCATGCACCCTCAAAAGCACCGCAACTGCCGCCCGAAGTGGTATCTGGCTGTGAATGTAAGGGACAGTCAACGGGTTCCGGCGTCTGGGTTTGCGCATGGTCGCGACGGAGTGAGCTGCTGTTGAGGCTCCACGGCTTGACCGCGCATCGGAGGACTTTCATAGGCCACGACTCTCGAGTCGATGGCCAGAAACTCAACGGAGCAGTCTGCAGGATGGTCTTTCTCGAAATTTGCAGATCCGATGGCAGTGCTGGTATCGGAAGCCAGGTGACGTTGAATGCGACCGTCAGGGAATTCCCTCCATGTCGCCCAAACGTGGCACTTCAACGGCGCAACCACCACAGACGTTTGCCATCTCGTAACATCCAACGGCCATCCCGGACCTTCATTTCTTTTCTGCGAGCGTCGACTCTTGTGCGAGCGGCCAAATCCCCGACTGGAGAAGGGAAGGCAGCGGAGTTGGGCGGGCGCGTTTCGGGAGGCAGGCAGATCGGGGCAGGCAAATGGGAAAGAAGCTCTCGTTAACTTACCATGCACTGGGCCAGATAAGCGAAAAGAAGCGAGCCGAATGACTATAGCACCAAAACACGCAATTCGGCACCAGACAGTCTCCGCATTAGGGGTGGGGGTTGGAGCTGGGATTGCGATTAAAATTGTTGTTGCGCCCGCAAAAGAGAAAGAAAGAGAGAAGAGCTTCGGGCCCGCTTGAAGACTCTCTTTTCTCCCCCGGACTTTTGCCAACGCTTGCCAGTTTTGCGCCAAATTTCCATCTGCAGAGAAAAAAAAAAGGAACCAGCCAGTGGCAACTCAACCCGACAACCATGAATGGCTGCACGCGTCTATTTAACAACAACACTCATTTAGATTCAATTTAGAAGCTGTATGAGATTATACTAATTGATAATATTGATGGAACACTATATGACCGTATAGTCTCAACTATCTCCATCATCATCCCAGCTAGAAGCCTTGGCTAAACCTCAGCTGGTCTTTAAATACGTTCCCTATGATATATGAACCCGCCGTTCTACTTGTGTCTATCTGATAGTGTCGTCTCTCTTTGTATGATGTCGATATCATATCATTCTTGTAGACCAGCTTGGTAGATGACTGCATGTATCCCCATGGAAGCAGTCCAGCATCTGTCACCGGTCTGTGCACAACTCGGACCAGCCGTTCTTGATATCCAGCTTCAGGTTCCACACTTGTAGTTCTGTAGATGCCATATTAAGTCATCTGTACGCTGCTAGGCTTCGGATTCCTTGAACACGATATAGACTTGACATCATAATCGCGTTACCATCGGTCCTTCTTCAGCAATGTTTGCTAGGCCCCAGCCGCCTGGCAGATGCGATCAACCAGTTCCATTTTGCTGACGATAATGCATCGTCAGAAAATATTGCAGTGGAGTAATTATGAGAACCGCCGACAGGTAACAGCTCCACGTAATTTCGTAAAATGCTGGCCGTAATGGGTGCCGTTACTTTCTCATGACCTTGGCCTTGCGCTTCTTGAAAATGACTCCCGTAGCTGGAGCGTCTTCCGGCTCCTCTTTTGTCACAGGAGCCGAGAGAGCAGTCTCACTCTCCTGCTTGACCTGAGACGGCTCACCGGTCTCAGGAGCTGCTGCATCCCCTCCTGACTTGACCGGCACGAACTGGCCCTTTACGGTTTCCGATGCATTTTCAGGCTCCGGCTCCGGCGCCGACTCAGCAGGTGTTGAAGGTTTACCCTTTTTGATATCTTTCGTAGACTCCAAAAGAGCATCAAGATCAGTGTCCTCTTGGGCGCCGGGATAGACTCGGGTCCGGGAGCCCCAGCCCTTACTGACGAATCGTTCAGCTTCTTGTTTTGCCTCTTCCTCCTCCTCGTCTCGCTCTTCATGCTTTCGTTTGCGTACCCCTAATGACTGGCTGGCCTTTGATTCCTCCGAAGGTTGTACAACTTTCTCCGACAGCGTTTGCCACTCTCCGGCCAAAGCCATCTCACTGCGGTATTCTTCCGGAATAGCAATACCCATTTCCGCTAGTTGTGCCATTTGTCGCTTTCTTTCTTCCAAAGAAACAGGTCGCTCCTGAGGTTTGGGCGCCGGTGCGGGCGCACGTTTCCAGGGCGCAGCATCCCCGTCTTTCCCACCCGCAGGTCCGGCCACGGTCTGGCGCAGTCGCTCAACCTCATTCTTCGCTCTTTGTGCTTCGCGCTGTTGTTGTTCATTGTTCCGATGGATGTCGCGAAGGAAGCGCTTCAGATTACCCTGATGTTTGGCCGTAGCCTCATGTTGAGACTTTTCGAAGGCGGTATCGCGAATGAAGATCTTGCATTGCTTGCACCAAAACTTGGGCTATGTCGAAGTCAGTGCTGAGACACGGGAGATGGGAAAGCTTCTGCCTACCGCTGATTTCCAATACTCCGCCATGGTTGTGGACCACTTGTCTGAATTCTTTCTGTAATCGGCCGGAGGATGGATGGACTGCCGGTTGCCAAGATGATATCACGCTGCTCGCTGCGTTCCCGACCCGGTGCCGCTAGTCCCAAAGGGGAATTTAGTTGTCGCCTGCCCTGTACTCTGTGAGACTATAAAGACTCAAAGAGACCTTCAGGTCTTTAGATTAGAAATGAAATATTCAACCACATTGGTTTGTTTAGCAGCCTATTACGCCTTACTGGCGATATATTACTTGTTGTGATGGCTTCTTCTACGGTGGTCGAGTACGAGTTTGGTGGACCGTAAGCACAAGCCTAACCCGGACCTTTTGGCCTTGATCTATTGACGAATTACCGGTAGCCTAGGAGCCACTGCCATCACCATTGGCCTACCTCTACTCCTGACTTTCTTTGCCTTCGGCTGTAACGATGTATCGGGCTGTCCTGTACCTTCGCTGTTGAGCCCTCGCACTTTCACTTGGGAGAAATGGGCCGCGGAGACCGGGTGGCCTGAAGGTGGAATTTGGGCACTCTTCGACTGGAAAGTGACCGTTGCAGTGCTGGCATACTATGTCTTTGTCTTACTCCTCTGGAGACTTCTCCCAGCGCAGAAGGTTCATGGCACTAAACTGGTCCATCACGGTCGTCCCCTCGAGTACCGCATGAATGGTAATTATATACATCCATGTCCCAGGCTGTCATGTGCTTCGGTTGAACTGCGCTGACAATCCTTAACAGCATTCTCGACCAGCGTTGCCGTTTTCGCTGTTTGCGCAATCGGCACATACTTGCAAGGCGCCGAATTTCCCGTGTGGGCGTATATCGTGGATCACTATGTGCAAATCTTGACGGCCAATGTGTTGATATCATTTGCCCTCGCCACCTACCTCTATATCAGCAGCTTCAGCGTGGACACCAATTACCCCAATAAGGATCTTCGCGAACTAGCGGCCGGTGGGAGGACAGGCAATATCATCTACGATTTCTACATTGGTCGGGAGTTGAACCCCCGCGTCACTCTTCCACTCTTTGGGGAGATCGACATTAAAACTTGGTGCGAGATGTATCCTGGCTTGACTGGTTGGATACTGCTTGATCTTGCCTTTGTCGCCAAGCAATATCGCAATTTTGGCTATGTCTCCGACAGCATTCTATTGATCACCTTCTTTCAGGGGTTCTACGTGCTCAACAGCCATTATAATGAATTAGGGCTTCTGACTATGATGGATATCACCACTGATGGCATGGGGTTTATGCTCTCCTTTGGCGATCTCGTCTGGGTGCCCTTCCTATACTCAACACAATGTCGTTATTTGTCTGTCTATCCGCTGCAGCTGGGGTGGTTGAACATCGCAGCTGTGAGCGCCGTCTTTGCCCTGGGACTGTATATTTTCCGGGCCGCCAACGATCAGAAGCACATGTTCCGCACGCACCCCAACGATCCGAGTGTGGCAGGCCTGTCGTACATTCAAACTAAGCGGGGAACTAGACTACTCACAGCTGGATGGTGGGGAATGTCACGCCACATCAACTACTTTGGGGATTGGCTACAAGCATTGCCCTTCAGTCTGCCCACGGGCATTGCAGGGTATCTCATCTATCCGGCAGGGAGCATTGTGGCGGCCTCTCAGAGCTTCCAGATGATAGACGGGCGCAAGGTCGTCCAGGGCGAAGCCCAAGGCTGGGGAATAATCTTCACCTACTTCTACGTGCTGTACTTTGCAATCTTGTTGATGCACCGGGAACGTAGAGACGATGCTATGTGTGCGGCAAAGTATGGCGAAGACTGGGAGAAGTATAGGCGGGCAGTCCGGTGGAGAATCCTGCCCTGGATATATTAGACTTCGATATATGGGTAGCTGAGCTAAGTATAATTAAGTAGAATCAAGTGTATGGAGTCTTATATGCTAGCCAATCATCAGTGTTCCGAAGGCTCAAATAAGATGATGGTAGTCTGCAGATAGCGGAGATGAGGGTAATCCTCCCTACAACTCTGATGGTTGGCAGGGCAACGGGAACAAACGGCGGCCGGACCAACAACAGCAAATCCACTTCACTCTCCTCCATCATCCTGCTCGCGTTGGGATATTCCCGTGTTACTCAGTATCGCTATTCGGTATCATCCTTTTATCTCAGCGAAGCCCGGTAAATTATCTCGTTATTTTCTACAAATTCACCATCTACCGGCTTCAAGTCCCTCCTTCCCGATCTCGCTTGACGTCAGCGCCGAAACACAACATTCCGCCGCGGATTCACCATGAAGATGGCGGACTTCGTCTGTCCTTCCGACACATTCCAGGCATAGTGAGTCCATCCTTCTCTTTGGGCGGCCTAAATGTCCGCTGTCTGTTTGGAACTCAATGTGGGAGATCTGTTGCGCCACCGCCATGTTGCGGCCCCCCTTTTCTCCCACCATCGACAGTTCTCCGATAAACATCATTCAGCCGTGATCGACGCCTTGTTTTCCCCTCACTAACATCTTACTCTCTCTGCAGCCCTCCACATCTACGGACCACCTTCTCTCAAGAAGACCGATTCAGATTTACCCCCGTCAAAGCTACCAGAGCCGCCCCCCGTCCCTGGGAACGCAAACCATCAACCGCATTCCGCGCCCGCGGCAAGTCGCGTAAGGTCTGGAAGCGCTTTCGCACTTCATTTAACAGCATGAAAGCTCTGCAGCAATTGATTGCGGCAGAGCGTCACACCGTCGACGACGACTTACATTTGGAGATCAACACATCGCGGAACCCCGGCCTCCGCCGCGGTGTCAAGCGCAGGTGTTTCGCTCTGGAAGCGGACGCCTTGGAGGATAGTGTGCGCGGGCGCTCGTTCTTGGAAACACAGTGGGAGTCCGAGGTTAATGGACGGCGACGTGAGTTTATCCACCTGGTGCTATAAGAGATTATCCAGTCGGATGGACTAACGACCCCAGGCAAACTTCCCCTAATCTACAGTGACTTTGTCGACATCCCCGATGAGCCGGTTGAAAACGACAGCCTACAACCAGAAGAGTCGTGTGACGATGTGAAGGACGACCAGGAAGAGCCCACGTCGACGTTGGAGGAAGAGCTCGCGGAGAACCCTGCCGATATGGACGAATCCCCCAGCCTGATCCCGGAAACCCCCACTAAATTGGCGTCCGACGCAGCCTATAGCCGCTCGCTACATGGCCTGTCGCCGCTAGTGGTTGGTGGCATGGTGTTCGGCACTCCAGACTTAAGAACCCGCGAGGACGTCGAACAGCCGACTGTGCATCTGTCCGACGCAATTGAAGACGAACCTACGACTCCGCAGGATGATGGCCATGATGAAAGCACGGTTTCTACGATGATCGGTGAAGAGCACACCGACGAAGAGCCGACTATGCCTGTCGACGTAGAAACTCTAGACGAACCGGCCGCGGCTACGGTCGCTGCACCTGTGCAGGAATTAACGAGTGCGCAGGAGTCAACGCTCGTTCGGTCGGCACTCCGAAGCTCATTGGACGGAGAAGATACTGAATTGCTCAACAACTTCTTGTCCAAGGCCAAAGCTAAGCGCGAGGCCAAAGCCGCTATGGTCACCCAGGAGCAGGAGCCTGAAAAGAGTGAGCCTGAACCGGAGGTGCCGGTTGTTGTTGCGTCTCCCACACCGGCGCGCCGCGCGTTGGAGGACCTTGACACCAACTCGCCCTCACCGCAGAAGCCTCAACCGTCGCCTACGAAGGAGAAAGATGAGGCCAGTCCGCAGCCATCTAGCCCTCGACGCAGCACTCGACCTCGCACCGTTCGCTCTTCCAACCTGTTGACAACCATTACCGCTGCAGCTGCAGTACGCAACACACTGTCACTCCGCCGTGCCAAGGGCACAGAATTCGTCTTCTTGCAGCGCACCGAGGCCCAGGAGCTGGCCCTTACGACGCGGCGAAACACGCGACTGAATAAGGGCAATGCACAGGCACCGAAGTTCGTTTTGCAGGGTCTCACACGCAAGTCGCCATCTGGGAAGAAGGCCGACACCGCCCCTTGCACAGATAGCGAGACGACAGGAGACGTCTCGGAGCGACCACACAAAACGGCAAAGAAGCATGTGTCGTGGAACGACGAGGAACTGGTGCAGTTCGACGACGGATCAGAGGCAGCAAAGGGCGACGAGCATGACGTTGCGAGCCGCGGAAGCAAGGGCAAAACCCCCGAGAAAAGAAAGGCAGCCAGTAGCCGAACAACGCGGTCTCAAGTGGCGCAGAAGAGTGGTGGGGAGGATCGCGCCGATGCAGCGGCTACTGCACCCGCTACTGCAACGCCTCGGACGCGGCGCGTGCGCCGGCTGGGTCCCGGAGCACCCAAAGCCGACTCGACGGCTGCAACAGCCGTCAGCAATGTTTCCCTGTCCTCTCCGTCGTCGCCCAGCAGCGACAACAGCGCGAGCACGGCCGAGCAGCGCAAGAAGCTGACCCCCAAGTCGCCGAGGCGGGTCCCGGCGACGCCGTCGAAGCCTGCAAGCGACAGCATCAAGACATCACTCCGCAGCAGTAGCGCGAAGACCAACCTGCTGAAGATCAACGCTGGGTCGACGCCAGTGCCTCGGAAGATGCGTCCGCGCGCGTGAATATGATATTGTTGATATCCTCGTTTGCTTTCTCGTTTATTTGGCGTTTCGGGATAGTGTACATATGGGGAAACCGAAAGGGGAGGCGTTTGGTCTGATGGCAGTTGCAGAATCGAATTACTACGTTAATATGAGTATAATCGTTTATTCTCATACAAGAGCTGGATAGGTATCAGTAGTAGGTAACTATCCTGTATATTTCTGATACAACCTAAAAGCAAGAAATGCAACACATGGACCTCACTCAGCCTTGCTGTTCCACCATCACATTCAGATCTACACTGCACAGCACCCTCACATCCTTACAGCTGATAGTATGCTGCACCGCGGAGGTGCAGTTCCCTGGTAATCCATGGATATGTATCCAAGCTATAGACTACTCACACCCACACACACCTTATATTTCCTCATACATGGTGGATTTCTGCATGTCTCTGCACGATGATATAACGTCTGCGTTGGGGGATAAGGTTTCCCGCCCTGCATTGTACATATACAGTTAGTAGCTGGGTTGCAGCTTGGTGCTGTGGGAATATTGATGTTGATGGAGGGTGGTGCCGGTGAGTTAGTACTATTCTGGATGTGGTGTTGATATATATTTTGTTGTTGTGAGGGTAGTACTAGCACTGCGTACTAGATACACTCCGTAATAGTAGTAGGGGCTAGAGGCTGGTTGTAGGTAGAGGGTCATTATTTACTACCAGTTAGTCCTAAGTAGTAGTAGTACTAGTAAGCTATAGGAAAGTGTAACGATTATATACTATCATATCCGCGTGGACTACAATTACAATATACATTGAGAGAGGTTGTAGATACCTCGTGCAATCTAATTAGTATTCGAACTAATCGGTATGGTAAAGTAGGGCGATAGTATATTTCACTCTAGTCTTATGGAAGATACTTATTCCCTTAGCCGTTGCGATCATACTACTAGTGCGGAGATAATATACAACCACACCCTCATTCGAAATATATACTGAGCTTTGACTACCATCATCATCATAATCAACTGCAAGTTCAATAAACTTTGGCACAGTAAACACATGTCGACGATCACCCATCACACTACTACTATAAACTAACTGAAGTAGTACACAATACCTCCCCTCAATCACCACATCTCCAATTAAACCACACTAACTACGTACCCCAATTCTCTCCCTCCCTCTTTTTCCCATTAATCCCTCAAATCTCAAAAAATTACCCCACATCTTATCCCCCATCCCACCTACTAAATATGTACATAGTCTACTTTTACTACTTCCACTCCATATACCACAAAGCTAGTACTAAGAACTAACGAAGCGCAAATCCCACGCAGATCCAAAGCTAGAAAAGAACAAATACAAACTAACAACTAACAAAGTTCAGCCCAGGATGCAATTAGCTTTTCGCTGAAGTTCCCTATTTCAGGGCGCATATCGCGGGTAGATTCGGAATACTACGATGGAGTTACTAAGATACGTAGTTACTTGGATATTATGTAGTTTAGTAAGTACTAAGTACTTTGGTGTATGTTGATGGATCCGAAGTTCACATATGTTTGTCTGATTGATTGATTGATCATGGATGGATTCAGGCACCAGTACCGACCAACCAACCATACCCGGTGTATATGGTCGATACTACTGCTACTCCTCTATTACTTCTCTAGACGAATGATATCTTTCTACCGACTAGATAAGTAAGTAGGTAGCGAAGATAGATGGATGGATGGATGAATGGTTATACTCCGTATTCAGAAACATACCAAGTGGACCATTATCCATCCATCCATCCAACATAAATAATCCCTCAAATATACACGCAGATAGTACTCTCCTGGTATACCATCCAATCCACCGTATCACATTCAATCCCGAATAAATGTACTCCGTACATAGTATCCATCACTCCATCAATCCTCTTTCCCGACTGGACAAATCCTAGTAAGTACTGGGGGTTTTACCCCTCTCTACGTACTCCGTAGTAGTATCACATCAACCAGATAAATAATTGAATACCAAGTACTAGGGCTAGGGCACCATCACAACCAACCCCCCCCACTCCCCCAAACAGTACTAACTACTAACACGCAAGCCCCCTTACCCAATTCAGCCATTCGGTGTTTTAGGGCTTCTTCCACATTTGCCCACCGAGGAGGAACCCGGGTACTACCTATATTCCGAGATTCTCCGACACGAGCCCATGACTAGCCTGCTTCGGTTAGAGTAGCAGTACCGGTCCCCCTCTCCTTTGTGTTTAATTGCTTTGGTTCCAGGTACGCTTGATACATACATACATACATCATGATATGATGAAAAGCCATTGCCATGCAATAAAAGAATTAATACAAGGATTAGTAGTATATATGTAAAGAAATATGTAGTGGTGTGGTCGATGAAGGTTCTAGATCTGCCCGTTATGAAAGTTTTGCCACATAATATTTTTATTATTTTTTTTCTTCTTTCAGATTGCTATCTTCATTGTTTCGTAGTAGTGTCTTAGATATTTTGTGTTGTTGGATGTTAAAGGGAGGAATGGGAGGGATTGCTCTGACGTCATTGCGCACTAGCCCCGTCAACGCATGGAGGACAGTCCTCCGACACTCCGAGTAAGTAACCTAACTTACTAGGATTAGTCCCGTTCTCCCGTCTCGTCTCCATCAAGCCACTTAGGTTAGCTAACTGTGATTCGGCTGGCAAGCACATGCATGCATGCATGAATGGGTTGAGGTTTCATTTGCGAACTGTTGGTGGGAGCGACAATTTGATGGCTGGGATTGGCGGATAGGTCAGTTTCCTATTATTAAATTATTATTTTTTATGATGGCCTTTTTTTTTTGTTTCGTCTATTTTGTATTCTAGGGGAAAAAGGGGATTGAAAGTGAAATACATAAATTGCTTTCTATACGTATTGTATTGTGGTGTAATCTGTTTTGCTTTGATTGCTAGATACACATTTCATCTCAATTCGTCCATCCACTCATAAGCTCATTCGGTCCAATTTTACTGGTTTATGGCCTGCATAAATCAAAATTCGCTCTCTATCATCATCTAAGCGGACAGGTTCTTGGCGGTCTCCTCGGGCCACACGTCGTAGCCAAAGGTGTCCTTCATGTTGACGAAGCGGAAGTGACGACCCTCGGCCACCTTGTTGACGGCCTCGTACTCCTCATCCGTGAGCTGGATGCTCTTGAAGTTGGACTCGATACGGGCGGGGTTGGAGCTCTTGGGGAGCACAACGTAGCCACGACGCAGACCCCAGGCGATGAGCACCTGCGCCAGGGTGTAGCCGCCCTTCTTGGCGATGTCGTTCAGGGTCTGGTTCTCGCTGACCCTCTCACCCGTCGTGGGGACCTGGTTCTGAGAGCCCAGGGGAGAGTAGGCCTCGGGCAGGATGTCGTGCTTGAAGCAGTAGTCGACGAGCTCCTGGTTGGGCAGGAAGGGGTGGATCTCGATCTGGTTGACGTGAGGCTTGATCTCGGCGTACTTGAGGAGCTTCTCTAGACCCTCGATGGTCCAGTTGGAGACACCGATCGCCTTGGCCTTCTTATCCTTGTAGATCTTCTCCATAGCCCTCCAGGTGGGCTCGGGGTTCTCAGTGAGATCCTTGAGGATCACGTACTATAGAAGTTTCAAATCAGCACTGCTCTGATGCTAGAATTATGAGGGAAAATAGACATACCTTTCCATCAGGGCCGATCTTAGGCTTCTCCTGAGTCTCCTTCTCGGCAGCAATGGGCCAGTGGACGAGGAAGAGGTCAACGTAGTCGACCTTGAGCTTCTTGAGGGAGCTCTCAATAGACCACTGCACATCCTCGGGGCGGTGGAGGTGGTTCCAGACCTTGGTGCAGATGAAGATGTCCTCACGCTTGACAGAGGGGTTGGCAGCGAGGAAGTCCTTGACGGCATCACCAACCTCACCCTCGTTCAGGTAGTACCAGGCACAGTCGAGGTGACGGTATCCGGTGTTGAGAGCGCAGGTGACGGCCTTGTAGGTCTCACCGGTGGCACCCTCGTTGGCGAAGGTACCGAAACCAACGCCGGGGATCTTGACGCCGTTGTGGAGAGTGAAGGACTGTCCGGAAGACATGGTTGTGTAGGGGTATCGAACTGGTGGTGGAAGGAAGGAATTGGGTATATTTGGTATAGTTGAAGAGAAAGAAGAGCCAGGGAAGCCGAGGGATGAGTACAAATAGCGGGTGGGAGGGGAAGAAGTCACTTGGTGGTATGGGCGAGGAGGGGCTCTCGTTGAGAAGAAGGCAACTTTACAGGCAAGAACCGCAAGTGGGGTGGAGGGGGGTGTGTTGATGAGGGGTATGATGCTATTGCTGCTACTAATTATATTATGCAGGGTCATTTTCTTTGACTTTTCGATTTGCGGTATGTACACTTGTACTTTTTACTTCACCAAGCTATCTTGGTAAAGAACCATCCATGCTTGACCTTGGTGTTCGATAATTTTCTTTTCCAAGCTCGAGCTTGGGGGAGCTCCTGGACAAATTTCCCTGTGAAGCTTCCCATGACGGCATGGACACGTTTTGGTTTTTGGCCTGAGGAAAGGAAACCCACTTTTTTCTGGATCCCATTAAATTCAGTTTTAATTTCTCATTTCCCAATGCAGACGGGGAAATTGCAATTACCAAAAAAACGAGAGACATGGAGCCCATGACATCATTGGATGTATTGGTTTCGAAACGGCGCGAGCGTTTGACCCGCCGCCGCCCGCTCGATCGTCATCGGCTCCAGCGATCTGTGGCTCGTTCGTGAGTGGAATGCCCGTAGCGACCAATCATTGTCCCACACAGTCCCGCTGGCACCCCCTCCTGTCCACTCAACTTGCAGCAGCTTCTTCCTCTTGAGTGGTTCGTCCTGCGAACAAATTTCCAGCCTGGCCAATAATGTCTCACAGAATCTGGTGATGCCACTCTCCAGTAGCCCTCCCGCCCCGCCGCGGTGGGCAAGTTCAGGCTGCCATCTGCAGCCACGATGCTGCGCCGGCAGTGAAAGTGGTGTGAAGAGTGGGACTTTTTGTGGTGTGTGTGTGTCTGTTTAATGCCTCAGAAAACTGTTCCGAAAGGAGTAGGAAACTTGAATACCTGCATGGTAATTGGCATTGGCATTTGTTATGTGTGTGTGCTGTGTATGTCGTAGTATTGAGCATGTCATAAATTACCACCAGCCAGGGTCCAGCGGTCACAGACTTGAAAGATTACAACAGAGCTCCACCTACAACCTGCCCAGGAAAAAAAAGTAGTGGACTTTCTTCTTTTGTAAGACCAGTTACTTACTAGACTAAACTACATCCATCCATCAAGCTGCCATTGTTGGCTCCGCTCTCCTCCAGCGAAACTACGAAATGTCGCAGCTAATCATCTCCCCGTAAATAATGACGACGAGAATTCCTAGGGATGATGATACGCCCCTCCCAACCCAGTCGGTGGATCCGGATGGCTGATTTGGCCGCAGCGCTGTCTCCGTATGGCTGCACCCAGGATAAACACCCTCCTTGTCGGTGGTACGCCTTCTCCCCTCGTCCGCTGGGACCTTACCGCCACTGTAGTTCTGCTGAAGAAAGCTTGTTATATATGATCCTCTTCGCCTCCCTTCTCTTTCTTTTCCATCTTCATCCTTCTCTTTCACATCATCCTCCTCTTCCATCTTCCTCCGGTGACAATTGCTTGCAGGTGACGCCCATTGGTTGTCTTCCTGTTTTCGTCTCCGAGTGATATCATCCTATCCTTCCTATCTTATCATCCATCTTCCTCCCCCTCCTATATATTCTTTTAACTCTCCTGACCTTTTGGTCTTGTGTCAATTGAACCTCTCTACAACCTCAATTCCTTCAGCAATTCATCATGCCTCGCTTCGACGACGCTGACTTCGCCGTGGACGCTGCCCCTGCTCCGGGTGCTCGCTCCCCCCGCGATGCTCGTGGTAGCGCTGCTGGCTCTCTGCCCATCCCCAACGATGCTGGCAACACTGTCGAGATCCCCGCTACTCGCAGCTCCATCAGCGATGCTGCTCAGTATATGCACAACCTGAGCTTTGCTCCCTCCTCCCGGGACCGTCGTGGCTCCCGCAACTCCTTTGGCACTTCCCTGCCCATCCCCAGATCTCCCCGTGTCTCTCGTCTTTCCTCGGTGGTCACTGCGGATGTTTCCCGCGACATTCTGGCCTCTCAGGTCCAGGACATGTCCAAGGAGAAGGTCGCTGCCGCCAAGAACATGGCCTTCGCTTTCGATATCGATGGTGTCCTGGCCCACGGTAACGAGGCCATTCCGGAGGCCAAGGAGGCCCTCGCGATGCTCAACGGTGACAACGAGCTGGGCATCAAGATCCCCTACATTCTCCTGACCAACGGTGGTGGTAAGACCGAGGACGAGCGCTGCGCCCAGCTCACCGAGGTCCTTGGCTGCCCCATCTCCACCGACCAGTTCATCCAGTCTCACACCCCAATGCAGGCGTTGGCCGAGTACTACGAGACCGTCCTGGTCTGCGGTGGTGAGAAGCAGAAGATCCGCAAGGTCGCTGAGAACTACGGCTTCAAGAACGTCATCCACCCCAAGGATGTCCTTGCCTGGGACCCCACCATCTCGCCCTGGGGCTGCTTCCACGAGGAGGACCGTCTCGAGGCCAAGCCCCGCGACTTCTCCAAGATCAAGTTCGACGCTATCCTGGTGTTCGCCGACTCTCGCGACTACGCCACTGACATGCAGCTCATCATGGACCTCCTCCTGGCTGAGGACGGAAAGCTGCTGACCCGCGCCAAGGACCCCGTTGCTTCCCGCATCCCGGTCTACTTCTCCCAGGGTGACCTGGTCTTCCCTACCGACCACAAGGGTCCCCCCCGTCTGACCCAGGGTCTCTTCCGTATCTCCATTGAGGCTCAGTACAAGGCCCTCACCGGTGTCGACCTGGAGCGTGTCGTCTACGGCAAGCCCGAGCGCGCCACCTACACCTACGCCGATGAGGTCATGAAGGCCTGGATGGAGCAGATCCACAACGAGAACCGTCTGCCCGAGAACATCTACATGGTCGGTGACAACCCGGCCTCCGACATCTGCGGTGGTAACATGCACGGCTGGAACACCTGTCTGGTGCGCACCGGTGTCTTCCAGGGCAAGGACAACGACGACAACAACCCGGCCAACTTCGGTGTCTTCCCCAACGTCCTGGAGGCCGTCAAGTCTGCCGTCCGCAAGGAACTCGGCCAGGACTTCAAGTTCAAGTGGAACCCCAAGGTCAACCCCGTCCTCCACGGCGACGGTGCCTCTGCTGTCGAGTGAACGCATTAACATCGGCGCTTGCTTTTTCTTTCTCTCCACACCACTTTTTCTCATCCATTTTGTTCACATCTTGATCGATGTTAGACATTTCTTTTGCATGTTACGGCTTACGGATTTGGACTACTGATATCCATCGTCGCTCCTGGGCCACAAAAAATCGCCATCAGCGAGTCGACTGATTTTGTTTTGGTTTTATTGTTTCCTCTTTTGGACTCTTTAGACTGGGTTTTTCATTTTTCTCCCACTGTCATGTTCACATACACATTTCACATACCAATGATGTCTCTTCCACTGGGCTGGTTAGATGGATTGGATAGGTTCGGGTTACTTTTAGACTTTTTGCTTTTGCTTTTGGTTACATGGAAATCTACTACAACCCTGCAATGTTGCAGCCGGTTTCTTTCCCACCCACCCAATGACCGTTCTCAGTAAAATCAAGTAACTTCCAATAAACTTCGTCACGAGTAGTAAAGTAAAAATGAAAAGTTAATCGTTGAAGCTATTCTACCTCTATACCATTCTCGAAAAACTCTGGTACCGAGTCGTGACGACATTGTCGCCGCGTGCGGTCGGACGTTGAAACTCAATTTTCCTGCTGTCATTCCATCTGAAACCCTCAAATGAGCAAGCAGTTAGGAAGTGAGGGTAGTAATCTCGGGTCCTCATCCAATGAGATAACTCGAGTATCTCAGCGGAAGCTTCCGATCCATCCACCCACCCATCCCGCGTACGAGATCCCCGAGCGTTGGATAATTAAATGGTGGTGGTGGTGGCTGCTACTGCTTTCGAGCCGAGCGATGAATCGATACTTACATTCCCGTTCCGGTTCCCGATGCGGGCGGGTTTGGGCTTGGCTTGGGGGTTATTCTCGGAACGTCCCGGGTGTCACTTCACTTGCGTAGTATCGGATTCAGGTCTTCTCGGGAATTAGTTTCGGGCGTCGTTCTCGATTAGGATTGTTATACGATTGTGTGTAGTAATTCATCCGTTGATACATGTATGCTGCATATACTAGTAGTTTAGTAGTGGAATGGGTAATTCTGTCATGCAATGGCAATGGCAGTGGATGATTTGATCCAACTACTTCGGCTCGGGGTCGGAGTCGTGGTCAGGATTGCTCGTCTCGGGCTGGGGTTGCTGGACATCTACCGAGTCCGGGAAAATGTAGTGCAGGTCGGGAGATGTTACTTACTCTAGTCTGGTCTGGTCTGGTAGTGGTGAGTTCTTTGAGTGGATGTTGTCACTTGTATTGGTGCGTGCTAGCACCAATGCTTGGAATCAAAGGTGGCTGGCCCTGTTGAGTTGTGTACCTTTTTATTCATTGGATGTTTGTTGGATGGGGCTGGTTGGGGGGAGGTTGTTGTGGGGTTCAATTCATGATATAGGGTATTTGGTGTTAGTTTGATGGTGATTATCATTACTATTACTACGTCAACTTGTGAGATTGAGGGATGTAGTTTTGATGTATGTGTCATTACATGTTGGTTAGGACGAGTACAGTTTTAGTAGAGCTATATAGGGCTTCATTCCTATGTCTGGTTCACTCAGCTACTACTTCAGACTAGAGATGAATTGGGTTACTACGATGGGCAGCTTCCTGTTTGAGTCCCGTATTTTGGGTGTCTTCTTATTCTCTGCGCTGTTGGGGTAGTGGCAGGGATGTTGTAGCAACCATACAAAATGATTCTAATGATGATGGTTATATTGTTGAGGGGAAAGGGAAGAGAGGAGTGGCCCTCGAAAGAAGATACTATATACTAGATAGGAATTAATGAGACCCGCGGTCAGATAGCTGTTACAGATG